ACTGTAGACGGTGTATACTTCCACTCAAGGAGCAATGGGTTTCTGTTCAACCTGGCATGTCTCTGTGCCAAGACAAAAGTGTGGTAGGTTGTTATCTGTGAGATGTTGTTTGCAGATGACGCAGCCTTGACAGCATACTCCAGAGAAGCTTTACAGAGACTCATCAACTGTTTTGCTCCACGCATCAGCATTGATTGAGCACGTGCTTGAGGTGGTAGACAATTTTGTGTACTTGGGCTCCACCATAACTAGCAACCTTTCCATTGACACTGAGCTAGATAAGCATATAGGCAAGGCAGCTATCACCAATACAAAGATGAAGCTCTACTAAGATTGTGTGCTGAGGCTGCTGCTTTATGGAAGTGAGTTGTGGGCAACTTACACCTGCTAGGAGTGACACCTTAGTGCCTTTCATACCACTGTACCTTGGTACTCAAACAACTTGGAACCCAAACACTGCAAACCCGGAAGTAAGTGTCCCACTTCGCAAACTTTTTTCAGAAGTCGAAGGTGCTCCATTCTGAGTGTTACACTTCCGATTTGAGTGTTGCACTTCGGTTTTGAGTGCCACACTTCTGTTTTGAGTGTTACGCTGAGGTCTGTCTGTTTTTGCTATTTATTTTGAGTTTTTGTTTTTGCGGCTCTTTTTGTTTTGTTTTTGTGACTGTGTGGAACCCAGTTCAGCTACTGATTGATTGATTGATTGATTGTGTGACTGCAGTACATTGTTTATTGTTTTCGTTTTATCAATGGTCTCGTTAGATAGTAAAACTCATGTTAAATTGCTGTTTTAGGGGTTGCTTTTAAAAGTCTGGAACGGTTTAATCCATTTTGCATTACTTTCTATGAGAAAGTGCGCCTTGGTTTTTGAATGCTTTGGTTTTGGAACAGACTTCCGGAATGGATTAAGTTTGAGAAGGAAGGTACCACTGTACGTGCTGTGTCAGGAAGATTTTGGGCATCACATGGCCGAATAGAGTCTCAAACAGAAATTTGCTCATCCAAGCCCACATTTCCAGTAGGTTTGCAGTTCTGTCTCAGTGGTCTATGCTGGCTTGGTCATGTACGCAGAAAGGAAGATAGCAGGATCCCAAGGGTGTGCTTTACGGAGAGCTAGCTTCAAGCACCAGGCCTGTTGGCAGACCAGCTCTGTGTTATAAAGTTATCTGCAAACGTGGCATGAAAGTGGGAAACATTAGCCCCACCATGTGGGAATCCCTGCAACCTTCCAACAGTTTGACTTCACCTCTGATGGCACACTCCTTTCTGAGTGTTCTAGGTCTCCAGGAACATAAAGTGTTATACTTCATATGCTTTCAGTTTTAGGGTGGATTTAGATGTTATAAATAACATCCAAACAGAAAGTGGATGTGTGGAGTCACACCCACTTCTATTGTTTTCTTCTTCTGATAAGGGAACTTGCACATCTTGAGCCTCAATATTTTCTCATGAGAAAAACTTGGCCTCATCCACATTCTGTGCACTAGGCATGCTCGCACACCTCTCCTGTCCCTCCTTCTCAACTTTCCCCCCACCCCAATGCCTTAACTTTCTCTTGTAGGGGAGTTGCTCCAGCCCTGTGATCATTTTGTTTGCCCTGTTCTGAACTTTTTCTAGCTCTACAAAATCTTTCTTTGAGGTGAGGCAACTAGAGCTGTACACAGTATTTTTACAGCTGCTGCATCACTCACCATTTCACACTCCATTAGAGTATATCTGAAATAAGGTTGGTTTTTTTGTTTGTTTGTTTGTTTTACGTTAGTCTGCTTTTGTTTGTTTGTTTGTTTTACGTCAGTCTGCATCACTTCCACTTGCTTGCATTGAATTGCATTTGCCAATTTGCTGCCCACTCACCCATTTTGGAGAAATCCCTTTGGATCTCTTCACAACCCCCACCCTCATCCAGTGTTCTAATCATTGCAAACCTGGCTACCTCACTTCCCACCCTAACTCTAGAAAATTTATGTACAAGTTAAAAGCAGAAATGCAATCTGATTCTTTTATAAATAATGGTTGTCCACAAAATAGCACTGGAGACTATCTGTCTTTTTATTTATCTCTGTTGGAGTAATGATAGTATGATGCCTTTAGAGTTCTGTAATCAGAGTATAGGAGGGCAGGTTGGCAATCACTCTGGGCTCCAATGGATTTGACAGTATTTCTTTATCTCGCAAGCTTAAGAACTGTTGACATAAACAATGAACAAAGCAAACAGTTCACAATATCAAAATCAAACCACTGCTGGTTATTTGACAGCATTAGATTTCTTGAATCAGGAAATTAATGTCAGTTAATGGTTGCTAGATGAATAGCAGTTTCTGTCAAAACTCTTTGTCTGCCATGCCCCCCCCCAGCATTCTCATCTTTGTCCTTCCTTCCTTCCTTCCTTCCTTCCTTCCTTCCTTCCTTCCTTCCTTCCTTCCTTCCTTCCTTCCTTCCTTTTCTTTCTCTCCTCCCTCAGGTCTCTTTTCAGATTCTTCTCCACTCTGCTACTTTTGTCAGCCTTTCTTTCTCCACTCCTTCCCTGTTTGACATCCCTGTCTCTTTTCTCCCTGACCCCCATCTCTCCCCTTTTGCGCAGTTTGCATACCGAGGCTCTAGAAAAGAGGCAAAGCAAAAATGTAACACACTCTTTATATAGGTTCCATTGTACCTACACACATGCAGGTCAGCTGCCATGGAAAGGCTCTAATCTGCTACTTCACGTGGCAGGCAGCAGCAGCCCCTCCTCACAAACTGACCTGCTGGGGACCCGGCAGAGGGTCCCATCCTTCCTCAAAGTGGATCTCCTTTTCCAGAATAGCTGCAGCTTTGTAGCTTGCTCTCTGAAGAATGTCCCTTCAGATTTGCTTGAGAGAAGGAGACCATCAGCCTTTCACAGAGGCAGAGTTCAGGCTTCCTTCACAACAAAGTGAACAGGCCTGCAACTAAGGGCTTCAGTTCCTCCTCCTACAGTTCTGTACTGTTTCCTGCCAGTGGATTTGCACCAGAGGTAAACAAGCCTTCAGGCTCCTGTTTGATATACCAGGCATGTGAGTATCAGGCTACAAATAATTCAGTGTCGCTGAACTTCCAGCTCGATGGGGTTTTGTTTTTAGTATTGTAAACTCCATTCATTGGAATAATACAGTATAAAAACACCAGGGATAGTAAAGCTCAGTAGAACTTAATTATTGTTTGGCTGCAATATCTGAATTGGGTCATATTGAAAGTAGGCATCACTAACTAAACTTTACCATTGTCCAGTCGTAAGTCATAAATACACTATGCTTGCAGTTCTGAGACGTTAAACCATTCAACATTCTTTTGGGTAGGTGAAAAAATATTGGCCTCGTCAAAAAGACTTTTTGAGCAAATCTTTCCTCCTTTAGTGATAGGATAATGTGTGGAAGCTTTAGTTTTACAATAAGGGTCGGCTGGTTAAACGGCTGCAGTGATTTGAAGAGTGGTCCACTAAATTATCCCAGTTGTTTGTTTTCTTTCATTCAAGCGTACTTGTGGGTTGGCTTGGGCAGTGGTTTTCTCTTAGAGCTGGGCTCTGTGCCAAAGGAAGCAACAAGGATCAAAGGCACGGTCATGAGTGATTCAACAGAAATCAGCTGACCCCAACTCTCTTTCACTTTGGGAAACTTTGCCCAGAAGCAACTTTTCTTTACAACTGAGCAATGCCACACTTCCCCTTTAGCTAAGGGTGCAGGGAACCCACCCTTCTGCGATTCTCAGAGGCAGAGTTGTGAGGCAGTGCTATCTCCTCTCCACCTGCATATAAAGCCAGTTATGTTGCCTTCTGGGAAACACTGGGGTGTCCTAGTGTTTCCCGCACCCTGCCTTTATTCACTTGGCAGCCATTGTGTGGAAGACCCAGGAGTATCGTCTTCTCTTTGGGCACTAAGCAGTTTCAATGGGAGCTAGAATAAAGTAGAAGAGGGCTAGCTAGTGTTACTGAGTGGTGAATAGCATCTAAAACATCTAAAATACCCAGTATGGCAAAGGTTGAATTTTCTAGCGAGTGTTGGGATTCTTCAGCAGTTGTTCAGCAGGCTGAACAATAAAGAAATGATCAGAGCTGCATGTTCTATGTACCTGGCTCTGGGTGCTCGATAGCCCAACAAGCATCTTGCTCCTCCAGCCAGTAGTGAAGCAGACAAAATCTGTTGCCTTAGCATATGCTATCAACACTGTCCCTGTGGTACCAGAGCAGCCCTGTTTCCGTTCAACAACTAAGTTGAAGAGATTTGTTCTGGAAACTACTATTGTTGCTGGAAGTTAATGAAATGCATGCTTCATAGCCAGGGTTGAGCTGACTGTGCTCTTAGAAGAGAGAGCGAGAGAGCAAGATCAGAAGAATCTTTATTTGCATTAGCCACTAGCCATAGCAATAAAATAAAATGTACTGAAGATAGAGGTGAAAACTTAACTATACAAAATACATTTTGGAGGTTTACATCAATAATCAAATAATAGATCTTATTCTGATTGCCCTTGCTAAAAACCTTGCCGTTTTTGCTGTCACCCGATCATCTTGATCTGCTAGAAGAAAGGAAGTTAGAAGTTAACTCAACTCTTTAAAAAATGCACTTATTTTAATGGGGCACGTGCTCCCTGTTTTGCAACATGCCTTTTTTGTGAAGGGATTTGATTGTGGTTAAGGCAGTAAAACCTTGTTCATGTTCTTTATTGTGATTTGTTTTGAGGCATGAGCTTTAGTTTGCAGCAGCTCCAACTCTCGTGTAAAGTCTTGTGAAGACTGAATGTATGATGTCTTGATCAGCATACAGGCTCCTTTTCGCTACATGCTTCTCTGCTTTTTCAGCAGGGAAGGGCTTGATGTTTCTGCCACTTACGTTGGAGATGAAAGTGTGTTCACACCCATGCAAGCACCATGTGTTGTCGTTTCTGTTCCAGCAAGATCCATAGAATCTCTATTGCCATTCTCTGAAGCATTGATCCCAGGATTAAACGACCTTTTGTCACGTTTCCCTCTTCTCTCTTCCTTTCAGTGAGCATTTGTCCTGCGCCTTCACATTCTTCCTTCATGGGGAGTGCAATGTGTGTACAAGTGTGGAGATCGTCCAGCACCAACCAATATATCTGATCAGTGAGGAGCATCTCCACATGGCTCAGTCTTCCCCTATGCCATTCCAAGGTAGGTGTCCTATGTGCGTGTCTTCTTGTCATCGGGAGTAACTTTTTTCAAATAAGTTTTACTAAATTTTCAAAAATAATAATAATCACATAGACATTCCAATACATAATAATTTTTCTTTTGTTTTATTGACTTCCCATTCCATTTTCCATGGTGTTTTTTTCCTCTCCCCTTTGCTGCACCCCATCTCCCCTCTCTTATATCATTGGACGTGGGTGGCGCTGTGGTCTAAACCACTGAGCCTCTTGGGCTTGCCGATCAGAAGGTCGGCGGTTCAAATCCCCACGACGGGGTGAGCTCCCATTGCTCTGTCCCAGCTCTTGCCAAGCTAGCAGTTCAAAAGCATGCCAGTGCAAGTAGATAAATAGGTACCACTGCGGCAAGAAGGTAAATGGCATTTTCGTGTGCTCTGGTTTCTGTCACGGTGCTCAGTTGCGCCAGAAGCTGTTTAGTCACGCTGGCCACATGACCCGGAAAGCTGCCTGTGGACAAACACCAGCTCCGTTGGCCTGAAAGCGAGATGAGTGCCACAACCCATAGTCGCCTTTGACTGGACTCAACTGTCCAGGTGTCCTTTACCTTTTACCTCATATCATAACAATAATGCAATAGTCTTCAATTCCTTCTGTTGCTCATAGTTCAAATCCTGCTCACACAAATTCATCATTTCTTTAAATAGTCCGAAAAAGGCTTCTATTCTTCCATGAAGTAATCATTGTTAAGTTCACTTATTTTAACTGTTAGCTTTGCTGATTCAGCATAGTCCATCACTTGAGTAAAACCTTATCCTGGCTTAATGTAAATGCACAGGCTCTCCGAGGGGAGAATGCAACCATTTTGCTCCTCCTCCCTTTACTCTGCTGCTGTGGTGCACTAAGCTTAGGATATCTTCCAAACCCTGGCTCACTGTTTAGCTCTGCTTCACAAATCATGGGTTGTATGCCATTGTTACAAACCTTGGTTTCCTCTTGTGGTTAATCTGGAGAGAGTTAAACCCTGAGCCCATGTTTAGGTGACATGGTGTATGTAGCACAGTAGCAGAATGACAGGAGGAGGAACAAAGCAGCCACAAACCCTCCTGGAGCCTGGATACTTACATGTAAATGCTAAACCATGGTTTGGCATAGCATGATGGGCAAACTAGGCTAATTGATTGAATGATAAGAATAGTGCACTGGTTGTTGAGCACATGACCTGTATTTATAAACCCTTCCTAGAACTTTAGCTTGGTGACAGACAGTGCTAAAGCTCAGTAGCTGCTGTAAGAAACTTAGTCCTTTTAAGCCTCAGCTCTGATGGGCCCCTGTGTGTGAGTATTGATATTAACGGAAGGTCCCCCTTCTCCATTTTAATAGATGTATTGAGTACCTTCTGTGCTATTCACTGTTGGATGACACCACCTTCAGTGTGTTCCTTTCCTTTCCCACCTTCAAATATCTGCTTTAATTGGACTTAATGTGAGCTTTTAATTTGCCACATGGTGGACTTTCGTAAATTGGTGATTTAAATTACCCTCACCCCCCAGGTTTAAATGAAGTTTTCTATTTGTTAATTAATATATTTCCTGAAGAGGTGTGTGCGCTAATTGGTTGTTGTAACAATTAACAAATATCGGTCTGAAACTAAGTAGAACATTTTTACTATCTAGGAGTAAATCCATGTCTTCTGGCCATGCAGCTTGCATCCTTTTGCACTAAAGGATTATATCTGCCTAGTGAGACAAAGGAGTCAATTGTGAAATAATGAATTTCTGTTTGACTGTTTCTGTACAGACACTTTAAGCAGGATCACTTAATTCAAGATGAGGGCCATAGTCCAGCAGAGTTAAATGTGCTTAAGCGTTGCTTACCTAATAAGCAAAGGGCTAGTAATTATTGTTTGCACCTTTTTTTTCTAATGAAAAGGAATGCACGTGTCCAAGCTCTTCGTTAGGCAATTTTAAATATTCTTAATTTGCTGCAAAATGCCAGATTGTTTTCAAAAAGAGATGTTCAATATAATTGATGCAATGTCGGTTTTTTAACTCTTCGTTTACCTTTTTTGCTGTAGAATATAAAGTTCAGCAGCTGTTAGTCCTTGAGGCTCCTATATGAATAAAATTGTTTACAGAGCTGAATGCCTTGCTTTGCTGGATAGTGGGATGTCAGCAATGTGTCTGGTGCTGTACAAACTGCAAAACATTTTTAAAAGTTGTTGCCTGAAAACCATCCATAGTTGATAAGTTTACAAATGGGGTTGAATAAACAGGGAAGCAAGGAAGAGAGAGAGAAATTAAAAGTATATTTAAAATGACAAGGAATGCTTCTGAAATGATTGAATAAGTTTGCGGGGGGGGGGGGAGGAATTTATAGAACAGCTAGAAGGAAAAAGGTTTTCAGAAGAGTATTGAAACTAGAAGTGGAGGATGCATTGTACATTGCCTCGAGCTCCTCGAAGGAACGGCAGGATAAAAATGTAGCATGTAAATAAATATTTTCTGCCTTGGGTTCCATGGCAGCACAGAGGTCAGATGTTAATGTAACTAAATAAACAAATTAAACTTATAAAGGAAGCCTCAGCAAGAGAACTGGGATATGGAGATGTTTTTAAAATGGGGGCATTCTAGAATGAATAAAAGAGATCAGAGATGAAGAATGAAGGCTGTAGAAGTGGACAGGCCAGGAAATGAGGGAGGAGACATCCAATTAGCATGCAATTAATTAATTAGCATGTGATTTGCATGAAAGGCTGGTTGCCAAGCTACAGCTGGAGGACGGATCGTCCTTACTCTATAATCTTCTTACTCCAGAGTTATCCCCAGATTTAAATCCTTAAACTCAGTGGCCTTAAAAACATCAAATGATCTTAAATAATGACACTTGAGGAGGAAAACACTTAATTAATTTGAGCTGCGTCTTCTTCACTATCACATTTTTAAATCTCTCTGCTTTCCACAGCTGAGAGGACAACATGCTCTGAGAGTCTCAATGCTGCACAGAGTACTTTGAGGTCCTTAACAGAACATTCTTTGGCCAGGTTTGCAAGGTTTAGGAGCCAATTTTAAATTGAATTGACAACAATATATATACATTTGGCCAGAATTAAAACATGCTTCTTCCTCACAATCCCCCAGCCAAAGTACTTCTAATTTGTGTGTGTGTTTATGAGCTGTGTATAGTAAGAAGCTACTTATTAGGGCAACATTTTGGTTGTATTATTATTATTACCGTATTTTTGCCCTATAGGACGCACTTTTTCCCCTCCAAAAATGAAGGGGAAATGTGTGTGCGCCCTATGGGGCGAATGCAGGCTTTCGCTGAAGCCTGGAGAGCGAGAGGGGTCGGTGCGACTTCACACCGGTCTCCCAAGGGCTGCGCAGAGCTGCCTGCAGTTCCAGGCTTCGCGCAGCTCTGCGCAACCCTAGGGAGCCCGGCGCGAAGTTGCGCCGGTCTCCCGAGGGTTGCGCAGAGCTGCCTGCATTCTGAAGCCTGGGGCTCGCTGAAGTCCAGGCTTCGCGCAGCTCTCCGCAAGCCTGGGGACACCGGCACGAATTCCCGCTGGGCTCCCTAGGCTTGCGGATAGCAGGCTGTTCTGGGTGCTGGGGTCGGGGAAAGCTCGGGCTTCCCCCGTGCCAGCCCCGCGCCTGGGGGGGGGGATTTTTTCTCTCTCTTTATTTCCCCGCCAAAAAAAAAACTAGTTGCGTCCTATGGGGCGAAAAATACGTTGTTGTTGTTGTTGTTGTTGTTGTTGTTGTTGTTGTTGTTGTACCACCTTTCATCCATAGATCCCAGGGCAGTTCACAGTTCCTGGAAAGTAAGCCCCATGGAATAGTGGGGCTGACTTCAGAGTAAATTTGTTTAGGCTATTGCAATGTGTGCTGGGGCCTGAGGTGAGGCTGTATGCTGAACTATCTTTTTGTTTTCTTTCCCCCCTTGTTTTATCAGTGCTGATAAGCCCTTATGGCTTAAGTGGTACATTAACGGGCCAAGCATACAAGATGTCAGACCCAGCAACCCGGAAGCTAATTGAGGAGTGGCAGTATTTTTACCCAATGGTGTTGAAGAAGAAAGAGAACTTGAAAGAGGAAGAACTGGGATATGATGACGATTTTCCGGTGGCAGTAGAAGTCATAGTTGGTAATGTTCAATATTTTGCTCATATAGCTTTTCCCCTCCTGCGACCGCCATTCAAAAAGTTAAAAAACGCAGCCCTGTTCAATATGTAGCACAGTGTTTCCCAACCGGTGTTCCGCGGCACACTAGTGTGCCGCCGGACGTTGCCTAGTGTGCCGTGGGAGGGAGGCGGGCGAGTTGGGCTTATCCTCCGACGAGCTCCACCTCCAGACCCATTGCTCAAATCCTTTAACCCAGGAGGGCGGGGAGGGGGGGGGAGAAAGAGAAAAAAGAAAGGGCGGAAAAAAAGAAGGGGAAGAGAAAATATTTTTTTAAAAAAAGGAAAGAGAGGGAAAAAAGCGAGGGATGGAGGAAGGGGAATAAACAGAAGGGGAGGACAATGAAGAGGGGCGGGGCTTGGCAGGCAGCAGATAACTGGGGAGGGGGGCGCGGCTGGCGGCGGCTCAAGGCAGGAAGGGAGGAGCTGCCTCGCGGAGAGTCTTGGGCTGCAGAGATTTCCCGTTCAGGAGCGCGGGAGGCCACGCCGTGGATGGGAATCTCCTCCTCCTCTTCCTCCTCCTCCTCCAGGAGAGAGGGTGGTCCGCCCCACCGAGTCGGGCGTGCTCAAGCGTGGGAGCCTATAGTTAGAGCTCAGCTCCTTTTCTTGCCTTCCCCGCCCCCCCACGGAGCACATTTTCCTCGCCCCCCCAACCCCCGCATGTAGAATAGAAGCCCTCCAGCCTCCACGGTGCACAAACTCTCCCCTCTGCAACGAAGCGCTTTGTTGCATATCTTTGGTGAGGTTTTTAGGCAGTCTTGGTGCACCTTAAATCAGCGCTAATTGCGCCTGGACGCAGTATTTACTTCCGAGTAGGCCCCCTTCTCCCCCCCCCCCCCCGTAGCACCTGACGTTGCTATTCGTATCATCAGGTTTGTTTGTTGATAATTTAATTGTTTTAAAAGCATCATGCTAAAGAGCTCTCTCCCACCCCCAGACCCTTGGGCAAAACAGAAACACACACATACACAAACACAGAGATTGAGCCCTGCAGGTTTTATGAAATGAATGGATTCTGAATGCCTGTTTCAGTGGCTTGTCCGCCTTAGGCTGCTGGGCCAGACACCTGTTACACGGTGCAGTCCGTAAGCTGTGAGCGCTGCTACCTGCCGCCGAGACCACGTAACGACTGTCTTGAAAGACCTACATTGGCTCCCAGTACCTTTCCGAGCACAATTCAAAGTGTTGGTGCTGACCTTTAAAGCCCTAAGCGGTTTCGGTCCAGTATACCTGAAGTAGCGTCTCCGCCACCATCGTTCAGCCCAGACACTGAGATCCAGTGCCAAGGGCCTTCTGGCAATTCCCTCACTGTGAAAAGTGAGGTTACAGGGAACCAGGCAGAGGGCCTTCTCGGTAGTGGCGCCCGCCCTGTGGAATGCCCTCCCATCAGACATCAAAGAGATAACCATTACCTTCTATGCTGTTACTATTTTTTTTTTTTTTTACATAAGTAAAAAGTGACCTTTCCCCATCTGGCATGGTGGTGTGCCTCGAGATTTTTTTCATGAAACAAGTGTGCCTTTGCCCAAAAAAGGTTGGGAAACACTGATGTAGCAGTCTTTACTGTGGATCTGTTAATACTAAAGAATTTTGGAGATACTACTTGGCCTTAAGATTTGGTAGCTGCTTTGTCTTCTAGCTCACGATGATCTCAGACTATTGATCCGTGCTGCCTATTAGTTACAAACGTGACCGTTTCAAAAAGATGATTTTTATGAATAATGGATTTTGGCTGTGTAGTTAAAATTTGTGTATCGAAGCAGAAACAATTTCGCTAAATCGGAAACGTTTAAAAGCATTCATAGCCTACTCTTGTCACTTCACTCCTGCCTTAACAGGTGGCGTCCGAATGGTATATCCTTCAGCTTTCGTTCTTATCTCGCAAAATGATATTCCTGTGTCACAAAACACTTCCACGCTAGGAGCCCACAACAGCATGACACAGCAGGGAGCTGGCAACGTGAAAGATCCCAGCAGTTGTGGAATGTTACTCACACCACCCACCTCTCCAGAGCAGACCGTCATAGGTAAGCGAGGAAGCCACCTTACAGTTCTTTTAAAACCTTTATGTGTATTCTGCCTGTCTAGAAGAACAGAAGCTCCTTGCCAATGTCAGTGATCGTTCTTGCAGTCTTCACCTTAATAAAGACCAGGCTGTACTCAGAAGTATTCTTCCTGCTCACATCAGATCCAGGATTCATAGTAGGTGACAGGGCCCAGACCAGGACAGCAGGGCAGCACCTGCCACACAGTTCTTCTCTTGTACACCTTGACTAGATGGCAGCTGGATTCCTCGTAGGAGGGTGCTGGACAGAGGTACCCTGCTTCCTTGCCAATGTCAGTGCTGGTTCTGGCTGTCTTGCCCTCCTTGGAAACTCTCTCTCCCTGTCCTGGCCGAGTCACTTTCAGGAGCATAGCAGGAGGCAGTGCCCTGGCCCAGGAGGACAGCACAGCTCCTACCACCCAGTTCTTTCCCTGAGACAGCTCATGCTCAGTTCATATAAAAAGTGGAGGGAGAGCTTGTTGGATTTTTCCTCTGTCTGCTATGTTTTGTGTTAATCCCCTCCTGCTATCTGTATTTCCCCTGGTGGGACTTTCTTCTAGCCCTTGGGGCAAACTAGATGTGGCACATCAACAGTAGTTGCAATGAGCACATCTCATTTTTAAATTTTAAACAGTTTGGGACCACCAGTGAACAGAAACATCACTTATAGTGTGAATAGCAGACTTTGGTGGGGGGCTATCATTGGGACTGGGGTGGGAGGAGGTTTTTCTAACACCATCAACACCACTGCACTCCCAGCACTGGGGAAAACCATAGCTCAGTGGTAGAGAACATACTTTGCATGCAAAAGGTTCTGGTGTCAGCCCCTGGCATCTCCAGGTTGTGATAGAAAAGACCCTCATCTGAAACTCTGGAGAACTGGGCCTGTCCATGTAGATAATGTGAAGCTAGATGGAGCAAAGGCTTGATGAAGTGTAAGGGGAAATTGCTTAGGAGGACAAGGTGCAAGTCAAATGTAGCAAGCAGTAGAAGAATTCAGCACCTTGTCCCTGTATCTATTTTAAGTTTCCTCCCCTCCCCTAATCAGAGTTTGGCACTGACTTGCATTTGAATACATAGGTCTGTTACTACCATGCATAGTTACACCTTCAGTAAAATTAATATTTTCAAAACACATGCTTCTTAATGCATAGTGATGGAGCAAAATTTTGAGAAGCGCTATAAAATCTGAGCTCTACAGCTTTCAGGAAACAGAAAGAGTTCCAGTCAGAGTCATAAAAATGTTGTCTTTATGTGTTAGTGAAACCTCAATCTAATATCCTCTGCTGTTCCTTGATGGTTGTTAAAGTGGTGTGTCTCTTTTAAATCAATGAAAGTACTTAACTTACTTTGGGTAAAGGCAAGGCATGTCCTTCAGCACTACACAGGTATATCCGGTTGTAATAATTTCCTTTCCTGCATGGCTGCCAATGTCCAAGGACATAAGCTGGTTCTAGTATTGGGCACACACTGTAGGCAGATCTGCTTTGTGTTGATGCAATTAATTATAGCGAGTATTACTCTTCTCGCTGAAAAAGCTATGTGAGAAGGCTTTAAGAAAGAACAACTTTAGCAATTAATTATATTACGGATGCTGTTGGACTATAACTGCCAACGCTTCTGTCTCTGGGGGTGGGGTGGGGGTGGCAACATATGGCGTACCACCACCCTGTACATGCCTCATGATATAGCTAGTGTATATATAGGACTTGGGGGAAGCGATAGGGATAACAGACAAAAGCCAACCCTTAAGAAAGACTCAGTCAAACAAACTGCACCAAGAATAAATCAAAAGGGCTAAATGGATAGGACTTTTGAGAAGGAATGAGAGGTAGATACAAGAAAACAAGAGAAAGAAACTGATTTCAGAATATAAGCAAAAAGCTTTCAACTCCATCACAAAGAACTCTTTAGATTGGGCTGGTCCAACCTCTTACGCCAAGTGAGCTGCAAGAGCATTTCAACACACAGCCCACGGGCCACACTCTGAACGATATTTCCACATCGTAAATTAAAGTGTTTGCAATATATTCAATATTTTTTAAAATAAACACAATATATTTAATGAAATATATACAGTTAAATACACAATAGATTTAATATATTTAGTAAGCAAACTCAAGGTGAAAGCACAGGAGAGAACAGTGCTCGAATCCGGGCTTGCGGGTTTCCCATTGAGAACAGGATACCGGAGTAGATTGGACAGTGTCCTGATCCCACAGGCTCTTCTTGTCATGGAGCATAGAAGCATAGAATTGTAGAGATGGAAGGGACCATGAGGGTCATCTAGTTCACCTCCCCGAAAGCTGGGAAAGGAGGTGGAAGGATTCTAGGACCATGCCATAACCCTCATGCCTCCTTCCTGAAGCTGGGTCACACTGCCATTGCTGCTGCATCAGGAGCCACTTCCATTCCCTGCTCTGCCAGGGGCCACCTAAAAGGCCTCAAGGGCCACATGTGGCTCACAGGCCACATGTTGGACCACCCTGCTGTAGTTGTTACTGCACAGAAGAGACAGAACGAGCAGAGAGCGATGAATAGAGGAAAGCATCCCGTCTCCAAAGCACTGTGGTTGAAGATCTTTGGTAAAATCATTTCCTCTTATTGGAAGCTAGACCTGTCAGTCACAAAAGAGCTCTCCCTCTCCCCACCTTGGTGTTTTCCTTATATGGGAAGCTTGAGGAGAAAGGTTTCACTTCTGGCAGACACACGGTCTGCACTGTTTTTCCCCCCATTGTCAGAATTGCTCCAGAGGTCCCTCCTCTCTCCCCCCCCTCTCTCTCTCTCTCTCTCTCCCCCCCTCTCTCTCTCTCTGTGTGTGTTTTGGGTAGAGCTTTCAGAATCAAACTCAATTTGGCTCACGTCTTAGGATTTGTCTACATTTCTAGGCACACTCCTACTGATGCCTTTGTGAATGTGGCAGTCAATGAATGCAGCACATCAGGTCTATGAAAATCCCAGAAATGTGTTGCTAGCTGGTGCCTGTTTCTTCATTCTTGTGCAGGATAGTGTTTGCATGCCGCCACCCAGGACTTGGATCCTGTGAAGGGTTGCATCATTGTGGCATTATTGAAAGCATCACAACTGCACGCAGATGCTTGCTCCACGTCAGCCAGCATTTGCAGATCAGAAACGTAGACTTGGGATGGGGAACTGTCCCTTGAGAGACCCTGGCTGCTGACAGCAGCGTAGTAAGAACCAAGTGAGAGAGCAGGATGCCATTGTACAACCTGGTTTGCAAACACTTGTAGCCGCTGGAAAGAACAGCAAACACAAAACCCTGGCACAGACGTCCTTTTACAGCAGGGGCAGGCGTGGTTGCCTTTTCGCCTTCTGATGTAGCAGTGCTTTGGCTGCTTTCAGTGTTTTATTCATAAGGCTTTTTCTGGCCATGCCAGACATAAGAACAAGGAGTTCTGTAAACATGTTTGACCTTGTTGAGGATTTGTACTATTACCTCCTTTTTCAGTTCAAGCACATAGTGTGTGACATGCAGTTAGGAAGGCTAAGCAAGCTCAAAGCTCCCTCTGCTGTTCCAGTTCATGCTTAGAGTGCTGCCGCTCATCCAATTGGTCTAAAGATATCATTCATAACAGAGAACAGAAGCCGTTGCTGGTGCCATTCATAAGCAGTTTTACTGCCTTGGCGGGGGCGCGGGGGGAGGACACATTGCCAGTCCCGAATGACTGTGCATGACATCAGCTCAACCTCTGCAGTAATTTCAAAATGAACTTGATTCAGATTAAAGATCAAACTGTGTTTTGCCATTATATGAGCAAGCCTTGGATTTTCACGTTTCTTCCTCCCTTTATGCCCTCTCTGGCTTCCTGTTTTGCAAATGGAAAAGCAATCAAACCATGTTTCCAAATTCTGGGTTGCAAACATACCATAGTTTGTGCAAATCGTAGTTTCCCCACTTCAAGTGTAACAGCAAGCTCTGTCACCAAAAAAGGAACTGCATGAGGGAACTGGAGTTCACAAAGCAGTTATAGGAGCTCTGAGGCCTGTTCATGTAACATTAAATCATAGTTTGGTGTTGGTGTCCAAACCAATCCATGGTCTGATAATAAATGTGGCAACTGGTAATAAATGTAAGGTTTAAGATGTCACCCAAATGAAAGGCTGGTTTTGGACATAATATTTGACCCATATTCTCCCTCCCCCTCCTTATGCACTGACTTTAACATGGATATTCTCGTTTGGTTAAGCCAGAATTCACCATATTAGGCATGACAGGGAACTCTGGTCCAAACAAACCAAGATCTCCATGCCAGAGCTGGTGTTATGAGTTGAAGAAGTTGGAGCAAAGTGTATGTGAGCCTGACTCATTTATGGTTTATGAAGCCAATGAAGTTATATCTGATCTGGCTTGAATCTTCACTCTAATCCTACATTTTTGGCCCCCCAAAGAACATCATTTCCAGGAATTAACTCTTGTACCTTTTGCTATACAGTGGTGCCGTTCGCACCCTGAAAAGTCCGCAACTAGAGCGGCGCTTCTGCGCAAGTGCGGAGCATGATAGAGCCCTTCTGCGCATGTGCGAAGCGCACAGAACGCTTCTGCACACGCATGTACAGCGAAACCCGGAAGTATACACTTCTGGGTTTGCCGTGTTCGCAAGCCGAAAAGACGCAACCTGAACCTAATGCATCATGAGGTATGACTGTATCCTATGATGTTGTTGTTTATCTTGCAGGTGAAAGTGGAGGCATTCCAAGCACAGTCAGCCATTCAGCAGCACCAGACGGTATGGTCACTGTGCAAAGTCCAAAGAAATCAGGGAAGATTCCTCCAAAATTCCAGAATCGTATGGTCCGCCGAGTTTGGAAGGAATGTATCCTCAACAGGACACAGTCCAAGTAAGATAATAATCACACGTGTTTTCCTCTGTTTTGACTTGCAGTTGGCATCCAGTTCTAACAGTTATCAGGGTGGTGTTTTCCCCCCTCCCATAGATAACATTTTCCTCATTTGCATTTTAATATGCCATGTAGAAGCATTGTCTGTCTTGTTGTTGTGAAGGTTAGTGGCTGGCTCAGTAGCGGAGCAGAGTCAAAATAACCTGTGCTGGTGGAGGGCTTGCACAGAGTGTAGGAAGAAAGTCTGTCTAGGTTTTAGTCAGATAAGCTCAGGGATTGCACAGCTCTCTTCCCTTGAAGGTTCAGGAGATTCCTCATGTTGTGCCATGTGTGAAGAACATGGCATTATAAACTGTGGCCTTAACCCTGAGTTGAAACCTGAGGTACTACAAAAGAACTGTGAGTCAAACAAATTTAAGAACATCCCTATCTGGAAGTGTGGGAGATTGAATCTGCTTCCTTCTGCATGCAGAGGACATGTTCTGTCCATGAACTATGTATGGTCCTCTACCCTAAGGAAGAGCTCTTGCCTCAGACACACACACACACACACACACACACACACACACACACACACACATGTCTGAGGCAAGAGCTTATATATATATATATATATATATATATATATATAAAGAAAAATGGGGATGTGTGCTTTATTAAGGTGCAATAATAATTACAGGGGAAATGGAACATGGCTTGCTTTTAATTTATTTCCATTTAATAATTTATTAATCTTAAATAAGGCATCCAATTACTGATTGACTTTGTAGAATGAAGGTTGGAGCTCTGTACTACTTTGGCAGCTTCATGTTCCAACCCAGAGTTAAGGTTATTGTGTAGTTCAGAAAATGGGCCAGTGGAGGCTTGTCACAACCACTGCTGGGTGTCTTCTGAGAGAAAGCTGCCACTTGACACTTAAAGGTATCTGTGTATGGTTGCTTTCAACACTTAGTCCTTTAAGGTTTTCACTACGTATTTCTAAAGGTTTTGGATTCCTAATTTTAATTTATGTACTTCCCACTTTGGTTGTTTTGTCAGATATGTTTGGTTTGGGTCCTAGCTTCTGGAGCAAGAGAAAACAAGCTTGTTCCATCTTTCATGTGACAGCCCTTTCAATATTGGAAAATAGCTATCATCTCTCCTCTCAGTCTCCACATTTCCAGGCTAAACATACCCAGTTCCCTCAACTCTTCCTCATAAGCCTTGATTTCCATTTTGGTCTCCCACCTCTGCACATGTTCTGGCTTGTCAATGTCCTTTTTTAATTGTGGTGTCCAGAATTGGACACAGTATTCCAGGTGTGGTCTGACCAAGGCAGAATATAGTGGTACTGTTACTTCCCTTGATCTGGAAGCTATACTTCTATTGATGTAGCCTAGAATAGCATTAGCTTTTTTTGCTGCTGCATCACACTGTTGACTCATGTTCAGTTTTGGTCCACTAACATCCCTAGATCCTTTTCACATGTACTGCTAGTAAATCGGATGTCCCCCATTTTACATTTGTGCATCTGGTTCTTCCTGTCTAAGTGCCACTGGCAGAGGAAGAGGAGTGGGGTGTGTGTGTGTGTACCACCACGGGCAGCGCGATCCCGGTGGGGTGCCATTGCGGCTGCCCCCTCACCTGTGCTGGGTGCCCTGCTCCCGCCCGAGTGCAGAACCTTACATTTGTCCCTGTTGAAATTCATTTTGTTAGTTGGGGCCCAGGTCTCCAATCAGTTAAGGTCATCTTGACCCCCCCCCCCAGTTTGGTGTCATCTGCAAATTTGATGAGCGTCCCCTCAGTGCCTTCATCCAAATTGTTTATAAAGATGATGAACAACAAAGGGCCCAGGATTTGTGCCCAGTTGTAGTTGCTGCAAGATTCTCTAATGATCACAGCATTCTTTTCCTGTAGCTTATAAGATCACAAATTGAATTCTGCTACCGTGGTGACTGCTGACTTATTTCTAAATAATTATTTCTTTGTGTATCAGGAGGAGTCAAATTACTGCTACTAACGTGGAGGAAGAGGCCCCCAGAAGCTGTGTTACTTGGGATTTTGTTGATCCAGTCCAAAGAGTGTGCTGTTCTTGCTCCAGGTCAGTGCATAAGAGAATAATTCTCAAGATGATTAGGGGTGGTTGCTGTCATGAATACCTGTTTGTGTGTGTGTGTGTGGGGGGGGCTCTCTGTTTAAAGGTTGTGCCAGACAAGCACATGCTTAGCTTCTGCTTAACAAAGTTGTGGGATCATCCCAAAAGCCATTCAGTCTGCTAAGTGCCTGTATCCAGAGCTGGCAGTTTCACTGGATTTGGCAAGGCATTCCTGTTTTGGCTTCCTAAGACCAGGGTGAAATCTTACATTGTAGCACCAGGTTTTAAAGGATGGGACTTATTAACTGTTTATTGTATGATGCCTGAGCTGCTTTCTTCCTGGTCAGTCATACCAATCTTTATCATCAGCGTGTGTACCTACCCCTTCAAACTGTTGGTCTATTACAAAAGTTGGTTGTTCTCTCAAGTGCCTTATAATCTGTCATAAAAGCAGCCACATAGAATCAGTTTGCTTAAGGCACCAATGATGGGGCTTCTTAGGTCCATGCCTCTGTAGGTTAGACATATTGGGCAACATTATGACGTAAACATATGGCAGGGCAGAGGTTGCAGCAAAGTATGCTTGGTAGACGGGACAGATGGCCACAGTCCTGCTGCCTCACACCACATAATTGGAGTTTTGCATGAACTTGCCATTGTGTGAGGTTCTCACCCTCTGTAGAGACAGCCACCCCTTTCACTACCTGTAAAACTGATGACAATTTGGCTTGGTGTGGAGGGACGATCTTGAGTCTCCATGATGAATGACTGTGTAGAAGAAGTCTTCATTCTAAGGAGATGAGGAAACAAGCAAGTGAATATATATTTTTGCCCCCTTCCAGAACAAATTCATAGGATTATCCAGAAAATGCTTTACACATGATTAGAGTATTTCATGACGACTGGTTTTATCTAGCTGTCAGGGGAGTTCATGTGAAAGTCAAGGTAGTGACAGGTTCGAAACAGATGAATCACCAAAATAACTTGCTACTGTTGCAAAGCCACTTACAAATGAGATGGAGGAGAAATCTAGATGCATCAGCATACAAACTTAACACTTCACCCTCTTTACTCTTCTTTACTTGGTAAATTCTTCTTGCTGTTTCTCTTCCAGGCATAAGCTTCTCAAGCAGCGCTGTGCTGTGGGTTCCAGTCGTCCACCAACGATATCACAACCAGGGTTTGGCGCAGGATCCTCATCCTCTTCTGCCTTGCCACCTCCTGCCTCTAAGCACAAAACCACAGAGAGGCAAGAGAAGTCGGAAAAACTCCAAAAAAGATCGCTGCTGCCATTTCACCATCGTCCGTCTGTCACTGAAGAGCTGTGTATGGAGCAGGACCCTTCAGGACAAAAGCTGGCCTTGGCGGGGATGGAGCCCTCTTTGGAAGCCCCTAGCAACAGGAAATATGAAAAGCAGCTCACTCTTCCACCCAGGCACCCAAGCAAACAAACGAATTTGAATCCTATGGATTCCCCCCATTCCCCAACATCCCCTCTGCCTCCCACACTTAGCCCCCAGCCAAGGGGGCAGGAAGCAGACAGTTTGGACCCTCCTTCAGTTCCTGTAAATCCAGCCCTCTACAGCAATGGATTAGAGCTCCAGCCTTTGGCCGGCGCAGAGGAAAGGACAGTCCTCTTGGGCCAGAGGCTTCCTCTGATGGCAGAAGTCAGCGAGACAGCTTTATATTGTGGGGTTATACATAACCAAGAGTCATCAAATAAATGGCAGGGATATGTTCTTCCTTCAACTGGGGATCCAGACTTCAGCCCACCAGAACTCCAGTGTGAGAGATACGACACCAAAATGGATGTTGCCCCTGAGAGCACTGCACTAAAAAGGTAAGGACACTCTCGGAAGACTTACTGTCTGTCCCAGGTGTTGCCATTTGAGGTTGCTCCGGGTGTTGGTGGCTAGTGATCCTTCTATATGCCTTGGCTAACGATGCATGTATGTAGTACAGAAAAATACCCAAGCCATGAGTACATGAGCTTTTGGGTCTTAGGTTTTCAGACAAAATGGAGAGTAAAAGCACAGCTTGAAAAAAATGTGAGGTTCAGTGCTGTTTCCTGTTCTGTGCTGGGCTGAACGAGCGGCCCGCAATAGTTTCATATTGTACAGTGCATTAATGTCTCCCTCTAAAGGCCAATAGGAAATGCCTTTTGCTCATAACTTTAGAAGAAACTTGATAGGCACTTTTTAAAATTCATTGACAGGCTTTTATATGGCACCACTCCTGTTGTGGAATTGCAGTATGTGCCAGTCGAGCTGTATAATTTTTATGCAGAAGTAAAATACCACAAGAGTGCTCCCATGTTTGCATTAGACCAAATGTTTACACATGGATCACTACTTTTAAAGTGTGCCATATTCATATATATATTTGTGAAACAGTTGAAATCATTAGCCTTAGGTGGTGGGGGAAGGCTGAGTGGAGGTTTGTTTCTCTCCCCCCCCCCTGTAAGGTTTTGGGAGGGTGCGTTCAATAATGGGAAGAGCAATTTTCAAGCAGGCATAGTTGCTTTTATTGTGGATAACTTGTGAGATTTGTATATCATTGTCTTGCTATCGGTTTCCGTGCCTTTGTGTATAGAGTCACAGCATACCTCCCACTGTGATTGCTGCTTCAGTGACTAGGTTCAAAAGTTGTCCAGTGTAGCCAAAGTAATTCCGTTGTAAATAAGAACATTTTTGTTGAATGTTCAAGGAGGACCACATTGTTGACCCCAGTAAGAACTGTGAGACCTTTACCTCTTTGGTGATGTATTGTGACTGCCTGGAAACAAATCTGGGACAGTACCAATGGATATTAAAAGTCAGAAGGTCTGGTACCAGTGTTTTGTGTCTAAAGGTGAAACTCGACAGGGACTTGGGTGGCGCTGTGGTCTAAACAACTGAGCTTCTTGGGCCTCGTAAAGTCGGCAGTTCAAATCCAGACAATGGGTTGAGCTCCTGTTGCTTTATCTGAGGTCCTGCCAACCTAGCAGTTCGAAAGCATACCAGCGCAAGCACATAAATAGGTACTGCTTGGCGGGAAGGTAAACGGTGTTCTATGGCACTCATCACGGTGTCCTGTGTGCCAGAAATGGTTTAGTCATGCTGGCCACATGACCCGGAAAAGCTGTCTGCAGACAAACGCCTGCTCTCTCGGCCTGAAAAATGAGATGAGCGCCTCTCTCCATAGTCAAATTTGACTGGACTTAACCATCCAGGGGTGCTTTACCTTTAGATGTTACAGGAGATTTTGTCTTCTCCTGAATATAGCAAAAGCAAGTGAGAAGAGTTCTCAGGAGTGCCACTAACAATTTATTAAAAGCCCAACATGTTTCTCAGGAATAATTTGTTAAGGATACTGAGTGTTGTTAGGAGACCCCAATGCCTCTTGCAGAGCTACAAACCCTCCATTGAACTGTGTTCTTTAAACTTGGGGAAGATGGGAAAGGGTTCTCTTGAGTACTACCAATGGAGGTAGGGTGCATTCATTGTTGAAAGAGACAGTAATTGTAAAACAAGTCCTCTAATTCCACAACAGAATGGTCCAAGACAGAGCAGTTCACAGCAGTCATAGCTGCTAGTAGAGAGTCAATTCAACAGAGGTGATGAACTCTGAAGGAGAATATAGGGTATCTGTGTGAATTCTGAAGTCTCCAAGGAGGTGGGAGTGCCATAAGTGGAAGATGGTGAGCTGAGTGTCAAGGTGATAAAGAACTTGACAGGGGCCTACAATAGAGAGTGGCGTGATTAGTTTTTCTGTCTTGAATATTTCACTGTAATCTTCAGTATGAGAAGCTGCTGTGGACTTACTGGATTCCTTTATGACTGAATCAACACTATTGCTAGGCTCTGTTACATTGTGAGTCCTTTCAGAAGCTTCTTTGGGACTCTGCATGTGGTGAGCTGCTCTGGAAAGCAGTAATTTGGTATCCTAATACTTTTTGCTAGGTGGCAGGCAAAGACTTTATAATCAGGCCTTTGGCCTTTAACTCTCTGTGACCCTTTAGAAGTGGGTGGGATGTTCCTCTTGGTTTTAATATATCTATGTGGGGTTTTTTGTTCATCTGTTTTGTTGTTGTTTTGGGTTGCCCTGGGCAAGATAAAGCTAAACAACAACAACAACAACAACAACAACAACAACAACAACAACAATTTGATTACTTCAGTTAACCATGGTCTCTGGTTCCAAATGATGCCCTGTCTGGACATGTAGCCACATAGAAGCCAATTTTGTTGTTTGCTCCATGTTTTACCCTATTGGAACACAAACATACCCTCTTCCATCCACCCCCCAGAAAAGCAGTTTATTGCAGAAACTCCTTAAGGAATATGAGAGCAAGTGAAGGTAACATATTTAAAAAGGGCTCTACTATTGAGAATTAGATTTGACTTCTAAATAAATGCTATTAAATACTAGAAATGATGAATGTCCCTGCATGTCCATGAGACGATTGGATAGTTTTAAACTTTTTAGATGTGGGCAACTGGTTTCCTTTGCCTTGCTGTTCTGGTGCTAAAGGCAGCCTCAGATCATGGAAATACGTGTGCACCCTGTTGTGAGCAATCTAGAATTATGGAAAGAAAATGCCAGCTGTTTCCTGAGGTTACATAGAACTTTCAGTCCTCATCAAAGCCTAAATCTGTGCTAATGTGATGTTTAACTTTGTTTTACCTAGAGATGGTTTATTTAGAAAAAGATTGCAAATGGCTTAATCAAAAAACAATCCCCTAAGTGGTGAACATAAAACAATATAGAAAGTAATCAATAGGACACAGATAAAATCAACAAATGTTAAAAACAAGCATGCATAACTAAACTATGTACAGTGGTGCATCACAAGACGAAAAGAATCCGTTCCGCGATTCTCTTCGTCTAGCGGTTTTTTCGTCTTGTGAAGCAACCCTATTAGCGGCTTAGCGGATTAGCGCTATTAGCGGCTTAGCGGCTAATCCATCTTGCGAGGCATTCATCTTGCGGGGCACCACTGTATCTGGATAGTCCTGCCACAGTCAAGTTTTTAGCAGGCATCTAAAAGCAGTATAACAGGGGTGTTTACCTAATATTAATAGGCGGGGAGTTCCAAAGCAAATGAGGAAAGTACACTACATGGCACTTTTAAAACTGGAAGTTCTGCAGATCAAAGCGGTTGGGTAGGCATGTCCAGGGCAAGGCAATCCCTCAAGTAAGCTGGTCCCAAGCTGTTAAAACTTTTATATACTATTAAGTAATACCTAGAACTTGGCCTGGTAACAGATTGGCAGCCAGTGCAGATTTTTTAGCAGAAGTGTAATATGCTGGAAGGATTCTTACTCCTGTCAGCAATCGTGCTGCAGCATTCTGCCCTAACTGCAGTTTCGGAACCAAGTGCAAGCCCTCAAGAGTATATTGCTATAATCTAGTCTTGAAGTGGTCAAGCTATCCTGGTCCAGAAATGACCACAGCTGTTATAAGAGTCGAACAGAAATACTCAAATTTGCTTTCACAGACATCAGTGCCGCAGGGAGTGTTATATTTGTACTTCAAGAGTGTGTGGCAGTTGCACTTCATAAAAGTCATTAAGGAGCTTTTTAGCTTGTTTTTGTAATACCTATACCAAATGCTATCCAGTCTTTAGCTTGCCTTTTACAAAATTCTCCACTCTAGAAAGGATTGGCAAAGATCTGAGTTGATTGATTTCACTTTCCCAGCCCAGAAATTTGGAGTTTAGAATTGATTCTGCAGCAGTACCTTCTATTTGTGTTTGGAGACCTCCAGAATGCTACATCAGAAAGCCCCATTTTACATCAGAGGGCATATAAAGTGAGACTTTGGGCATTTCCTCATTAACTCCCCCCCTCTTCCCCTTATGTGCCTGCAAAACTCGAGCACAACAAGTGGCCAGTGATCTCTAGGTGTGTGTAGAACAGATGAAGAATGCAGTAGGTACCAGATCCATTCCAGAAATACTGTGCTTAAATTGGAGCCTAGGGTTTTGCAGGCTGAATTCTGTTTGGAAATGAACCTTACCCTATCATTATGTGGAAGGACAGCCCTGTGGTCATGTCTCAGACTCCTTGGGCCTTTTACAGTTGTTATATGTTCTTGTTATTTTGGCTGTGACAGAGCTAATTGAACTTTTGGCTGGGCATATGGGAGATTGGGATGAATGAAACTTGCATGCACTTGAACATCTCCAAAAATATTTGTGAATTTTTCACACGTGTATCTCAGTGATGGCTAAATCGATGTCCTAAAGTGAGCTCTTCATGTGAGACCAGGCTTGGAGGACTTGGAGGACAGAAAAGCACTCTCAGGCCATATGTTCCATATGACAGGAGTGGACAGCCTGCAGCCCTAAGGTCACACGTGGCGCTCATCTTAATTTCAGAAGCCCCCTGAGATAGATCAGTTCAGACTTGTGTCAAGAGCAAGCTCTTTCTACCCCACCAACCCACACTAGGCAGGAAGGAGGAGGAGAGAAAAGCGGTGGCCCTGGCCACTGCTGGCTTTGGCCCCACCTACCACTGGCATGCCCTCCTGCCCCCCCCCCCAATTGACTCCCAGAAAATGTAGCCCTTGAGGGGGAAAAAATGTTGTCCACCACAGCACATAAAAATGAGATGCTCTTGATCCTGCACAACTGTGTCAGAAGTGTATTTCTCCCCCCACATATCTGGGAGAGAAATGTAAGAGCTATATTTCCAATACAACAATCTTGCAGAGGAAAAGGAAGAACAGGAAACTTGTGCATCCTGTTCCTGCACAGCAAGATAATATCTAAAGCAAATACCAAAAATAGGGGTTCGAACATTCCTTTCTTTCTTTTATTGCAACACATATTTCCATTTTCAAAGACATCTGAAAGGTAACTAACAACCAGTAAAATTGGGTGTAAAGAGGAGGATTATTGCCATATTTTCTCCAGTATCCACTTCTGCAGATGCTCTAAGTATACCATAATGTTTCTGGTTATGGGGGAGATTTTGATTCAGTGATGTTTCTGTAAGATTCAGTCCTTTCTGTGGCTAGGCCAGAATGCAAGCTTACAAGTCAGCCAGTAGATTCGTAATGCTCTGCTAAAGAAGCATTTTGTTTCAGCTATATCGAACCAGAAGAGGAATTATATTAGCTGTGTTTGTGTAAGAAAAATCTATAAATCTGCAGAACAGACTTTACTGTTTTTCTGTTTCCTTTTCTCTTAGGCTCTTAGCACAACCTAATAAAAGATTTAAAATCTTGGAAGAAACCCCCTCAGTGCCAGCAATGAATTATCTCGACCCCTTACCTCTAATACAGCAACCTGGTGAATGTTTGGGAGATGTCAGCGATCCTTACACATTTCAGGATGGCGATATCAAATACAGCTTCACTGGCACGAAGAAGTGCAAGCTTGGAGCTGATAGAGAATCTCTGAAGAAGAATAAGGTATGCTGTCAAACTAGTAGCACAATATTTTTTGAGTACAGTGATTCTTGCTTGGAAATTTTTGTCTGTTGTACTACAACTCAGACCTTTGAAGTCTTAAATTCTATGTCTTGTGGTGAAAAATTTATTTGTAGATTTAGACATAATAATTTTAATTGATTAAGGTTGCAATCCTGCATATACTTACCAAAGTGAAAGCTCTGTTGAATGGCTGCATGCTGCCAGATGGCTTACCACTCACTCAGTACAATAGTACTTGCTTCAATGCAAACATACACACAGTTGAGCTGTAAGTGATTATGTTTGCCTATGAGTAAATATAATAGTTCTGAATACTTTCGCCATTTTAAAATGCCACATGTCTATGCCATAGAGGCACAGGAAGCTGCCTTATACCAGGTTAGAGCATTAATCCAACCTAGCTTAGTGTTGTGAACACTGATTGCTCTCCAGGATTTCAAACAGGAATCTTCTGGGACAAGCTGGGGATTGAACAATAGGACTTTCTGCATGCAAAGCATGTAGCCTACCACTGAGCTAAGGCCCTTCGTGAGACATTCCCTTCTGCCCAAGGTCCAAACTTCACGTAATACAAACTATGTAGCTGTACCTTTAAGTCAAAGTTTGTTGGTAATTGTTTTTGTTTGTTTTTTAAAAAGCCTGCATGCTGAAGGAGAGTGTTCCAGATTGGGACCCTAGCATGGAGGATAAGGGAGGTTTTAATGAACCAGGTCTTCTGCACCTGGAGTTTGCACTGCTGAAAAGAATTCCATTCACTTCAGTAGGACACTTCTTGGCAATGCCATTGGCAGATGCAGGACCCCCATTCCAGATTGATTGGAAAAGCTCATTGTGAAATAAAGATCCTTAAGAATCCTCATTAAAATAGTTGGGACACACATTACCTAAATGTGGAAGCTAGCTAGCATACATTAAATTATCATTTTTGAATTATCTTACAGCTCAGGAAAGCCATGGTGATTTTACATTCTGCATTCATACAAACCTTTCTCTGCTATTTTGGTTTTTGACTGAGCCTACTGCTTTTGAAACATTGCTTTGGGGAGGGCATTATATCTGCTGTTTGGAGCCACATCCCATGTGACAGGTTGTTATTGCATAGTTACCGGAAGAACTATTTGCAACACCATTGAAAGCAGTGGGTGTGAAGTTGTAAGAGCTCAGAACTACTCACCTGGATTTATTTTACTTTTCTAACTCTTTTAAGGAAATTGTGGTTGATTAAATTCTCTGTTTGCAGTCAGAAGATGGAACAGCAACTAAAGAGATTTCTGCAGCAGGCCATTCCACCACCATTCCAGATGGGAAAGATGCAATGTCCATTTTCAGTTCTGCTCCTAAAACAGGTATGTGAAAATGTGTTGGGCCCTTCTTGTGAAAGATGCCACTCGACATCTTAATAAGAATCATAAGGCAGTAATACTTTAGTGATGAACTGTGACACAAGCAATTAGTAGAAAACAGGGGATAGTAGTACAGTGGTACCTTGGTTCTCTAACGGCTTGGCTCCTGAACAAATCAGCTCCTGAATGCCGCAAACCCAGAAGTAAGTGTTCCAGTTTATGAACGTTTTTTAGAAGCTGAATGTCCAGCGCGGCTTCCGCTTGAGTGCAGGAAGCTCCTGCAGCCAATTGGAAGCTGTGCCTTGGTTTTCGAACAGTTTTGGGAGTTGAACACTCCTGGAACGGATTAAGTTAGAGAACCAAGGTACAACTGTAATGTTGCTTGGCACCTGAAAATATGTCCACATATGTCCAGCTGATTATTTTAAAAGATAAACTTTGGAATACAGCAATTGTGTTTTTGGAGAGTGTGATTTAATGCCTTTCTGCCTGACGTCTAAAATCCTTGATGTTTCTTCCCCCCGCCCCCTCTTTTTTCTCTCTCTCCATCCTCCCTGCAGACACACGGCAAGATAATGCCGCAGGCCGAGCTGGTTCTAGTAGCCTCACACAAGTAACAGATTTGGCCCCTTCACTACATGATTTAGACAACCTCTTCGATAACTCAGATGAAGATGATCCTGGAGTAAGTGTGTGATGTGTTAAGATATGCTATATACTCTTGGTGTCACTCTCCCTTTGGAGTAATATATAATCTCAGGGAATTTTGGGACTTGATTTCTCCTCCATCTGATTTCATGGAATTGCAGAGTTGGAAGGGATTCCAAGGTCCATCTAGTTCACAGCTAAAGATTCCCTGACAGATGAGCATACAACCTGTGTTTGAAAGCCTCCAGTTTTCCCCATAGTGTGAACTACGTGGTAAATGGAATGTCATTCCACAGCCACTCCTCTTGCCCCAAAGGAAGATTTCAGCATGAGAACAAAGTCTGTGTCTAATGCAGCAGATACACCAAATTCTTTTTTCTCTATGTTTTTTTTTCCTGTTTCCATTCACTTTGCCCACGATACCAGAAATTTCACTTTGTGCTGATGTGGGTTAATAAAGTAGTCGTGTTCCTCTGCCAGTTTCATGGGAAACACCAGCACACAAAAAATTCATTTGTAAAAAGCACACAGATGTAAGTTGACTTTTTAAACCATTAAAAAAATAAAATTAAAAATGAGTGAATGATGCAAAATTAGGTTTCTCCGCCCCCTCCCCTTGATTTTTTTTCATTTAAAAGGTGCTATTCATTGCTTTATTTAAAATGGAATAAACAGAAAAGGCTGTGAAGTTGTGTTATGGCCAGTTTGGTTTTAAAGAGGTATTATTTGCTTTTAATGAGGTCTTTTTAAAAAAATCCTAAATCTAGGCTGTCTCACCTGCCCTTCGGTCATCAAAAATACCTGCAGTGGGGACAGAAGAGCGCCCTTTGGGCAAGGACGGCAGAACAGCAGTACCTTATCCTCCAAGTAAGTGTTAAGTGTGTCTCCAGGATTTCACCTAATATTAAAAGTACAAGCCAATCATATAAAAAACCCACATCCATGTTTTGAAAGAATTGCTATGTAAATGGGTATTAATTTTCTTAGCTGTTCTTTAGCTATCTGGAGTGATTCCACTGGTATTCCAATCTTATTAGAGACCCAGGAGGAGGACCGCTTTGCCTCAGTTGGAATTGTCTTGTGTTCCATGGTATTGGCTGCCTCTTATTTATTTTCTGAAATCTCTGTCCTGCTTATTTTTCCAAAGTTGTGACGCAGAGTGGCTAACAATACGGTAATAAGGTCAGAACAGCCCAAGCGTCATTCATTAAAAAAAGAGAAGCCCATCCCAGCATACACTCAGATTAATGAGTTAACAGTGTTCAACCTGTTCAACAAATTCCAGCAGCATGAAAGTGATGTGGAGCTGAGCCAGCAGAAATTGAATTGAGCTCAGAAACTAAATGGCAGCCTGTGCAAATCCAATAGAACCAGCATGATAAAATCAAATCACCTGGCTCCCATAAACAGCTTGGCTGCCTCTTGACAAGAGCTGTGTCTGTTCAGTACCGGTGTCCCAGACGCCATTGTTCGTTTGCTAGCTGGTGGTTTGAAGCATAGTGTTCCTACCCAAGTTGTGATTGTACAAGTCACAGGGAAATGCAATTATTTTAATTTATGCTGTCTTCATTTAAAGGCTACCACTTTAAAAAAAGTGGATAAGGAATTTGCTGCCTGCAATAGAAGCCCACGGTTTCTAATTGAAACTGCATTATATATCTCCATTCAATTTATACCGAGGGAGAAGTGAAGCTTAACAGTGTTCAAACTGCTGTCTCTTAGCATGACTTTAAATATTTAGGTGAAATCAGAAGAATCTGGGTTGCGCTGGGCTTTTTGTATCCAGCATATATTAATATAGATTGTGGATTCCCAATGCCCTGCTCCTTTTCCATCATGCCAGGAACTGCAGGGAGTTGTATTGTCCTTTGAGATCCGCAGATGTTTCCCCACTGCAACCCTCGCATACGTGATATGCTTTAGAAATGTTTTATGTATATTTGAAAATAGAATTGTGTGTGTGTGTGATACTAACAGATGTCATTGTGAATTACAATATCCTCCTGCTTCCGAGAGAGGGAGAGAGAGATACCAGGGCCACTCTAAGCTGAACTCTCATTCCGCCGCAAATCATTCTTGAACATTATCTCATTAACTCTAGCTGGTAATGAGAACAAATTGAGGGGAAAAACCATGGTGTCACGAGGATGAGTCAGAGAGTTTTATGGACCCATAAAAGCAGTGCTGATTTACTCAAATGCAGAAGTATGAAGTACACAGAGATTGGGTTTTGACAGTTTTAGTAGATCTATAGCTGCTTAAAATATGCAAGGCTTTCTCAAGCATGACACACATGAAAATGAATAATGATACCCAGTCAGTTCTGTGGGTTTATTTAATTAAATATTTTCTTCTTCTTCTTTTAATGACACTGCATTGCAGAAAAGTTGCCCCCACCTTCTTTTTTAATTAAAAAAAAAGGGAATTCCAAAAAGAATGGAACAGTGTGGAGCAGGTTGGGAAGGGTTAAGTAGATAGGACTTGCCCCATTCAATGTTCATATCTCTCTCTCTCTCTCTCTCTCTCTCTCTCTCTCTCTCTCTCTGTGCAGCAGCTTCTGTAAAAGATTTCAGAAAGTGCAGAAGTAAGTGTACATGCATGAGAGAGAGAAAGAGATAGAGAGGGTTGTCAGACGATTAGACAGCAGAACCTGCTTCCCCTTCTGCACTGATTTTGATGGGCTAGAAGCTTGGTCTCTCTCTGAAGGATTTCCCTTTTGGATGCAAGACCAGTGCTTTCCTAAGCTCCATTTTGTTGCCAATTAGAAGAATAGCAGGGTGACATCAGCATGCTGTGTGTGCCTTACAATCTCCACAGGGATGTCCCAGCGGCAAATCTGCTGGAGAGCACTGATCAGAGTTGCTGATGGATACTTAGCATGTTATACAAACTGCCTGTCAAAGAGAGGCTCATGGACCACACTGTAGCATCAGTGGCTGTTCCCTCTGGTCTGGACGTGACTGATAAGCCCAGCTTTGTGCATGCATGTCTCAGCTGAGTTTAGGAAATGCACATAGCTGCTGTTCACACTATGTTGCAGTTCTTTTGGTTGCTTTCTCCTTTTATTATATTGCTAGCAAGCTAGTCTCTCGCTGCTCAGGGATGGATAGGATCTCTACTGTAGTCTGGTTCTAGACTTGGAGACTTGCATTCCTTAATGTTTGCCCAACCTGTGACTTCCCTTTCCTTTACCAGTTCTACCTTGAAATGTCCTTGAGAAGAACAAAGCATGAATAACTTCTTGCCTGTTCTTAATATTAATAATTATTTATTAAGCAACCAAAAGCTATATATATATATATATATATATATATATATATATATATATAGCATAAAACATAAAATAAAAATGTCACAATCCTGTTTCACAATCGGTATAAAAGAATGAGGTAAAGAAATAGAGTAGAGGACGTTAGATACCCCAGATCTGCTCCTGCAGTTTGTTTTACCTTGAGATGAATTGCTGATTTATAAACTTCTTGAGATTATAAAGATATGGGCCAATGGTGGAGCAAACCATTCCAGACCTGGTTGAGAGCTGCGTGTATACATGTCCACCCCCCGACATGTGTCACTTGAAACTATACAATTGAGGTGGAGCAGGGAAATGTTTGATTCAAAGTACTGTTTTTGTTTTTAAATTTGGCTTTGCTGGCTAAGCTGTAAAGATAGCAGGTTCATAGTACAACTTCTGTTCATTGCCAGTTTTTCTCAGAGGAGCGTTTTAATTGCCAACCTCCATTTCCATAGTAGTGATGGCCTTCTCTCATAATCTAATTGTTGGAAGATTCAGGACAGATGAAACAAAGAGTCTCTTCACACAGCTAAGGTTAAATGATTGAATCCACTACCATAAGAGTTCAGAGAGGCTAATTCTGAAACTGACAGCAAGTCTGCTTTTTGAGCATCATGGAAGGCTTGCTTTTTTAAAAAAAAGTATATACAATGTGTTAACACATGGGTTATCTTGTCTAGCCGTGGCAGATCTGCAGAGGATGTTTCCAACACCACCTTCCTTGGAGCAGCACCCTGCTTTCTCCCCTGTGATGAGCTATAAAGACGGCATCAACTCGGAGACCGTGACTACACTGGGAATGATGGAAAGCCCTGTGGTCAACATGGTTACAACCCAGCTCACAGAGTTTAAAATGGAAGTGGAAGATGGATTAGGCAGCCCTAAACCAGAAGAAATCAAGGTATCAAGCTAAAAGCAGGTGGTGGTGTAAAACTGAAACATGGGTGGAGAGATATGGGCAGGAAAGTTGTTGATCAGCTCTGCCTTAAAATGAACATGAATAACCATGGAAATGATTTGGGAGTTTGCAGGTACTGCAGCCAATGAAAGAAGGACAGACATTCTTTGTCCAGACATCCCAATGCAGCAAAGTTTGAGCATTAAGTACAGTGGCATAAAGTACAGTGGCTGAGCTCAGGGAAAAACTGTAGCTCAGTGGTAGAAGATGCATTTGTACACAGAAGATTCTAACTTAAATCTCTGGCATCTCTCATTAAAAGGATCAGGTAAAAGTAACATGAAAGACTCTTGCCTGAACCTCTGGAGAGCTGCTGCCATTTGGGGTAGATAATACTTTGCCAGGTGCTGATGTTGCCACCTGTACTAAGCAAGTAGTGAGCACCCATTTCCCAGTTGCAAAGCTGGTAGCGTGATACTCTGGTGTATTTTTCTTCATTTAGAATGTTGCTTGAATAAATCCCGCGATTCCTGTTTTCAAAGAATTTAGAGCTGCTTGCCAATGTTGAAGATTAAAATGGGAAAGAGATGTAGTTCAGTGGAAGAGCATCTGCCTTGCCTGTAGATGGTCACAGGTTCAATCTCCAGTGGCATCTGCAGGTAGGCGGTAGGCTAGGAGAGAACCCTACCTGAAACCATGAAGAGTTGCTGCCTGTCAGTGTAGACAGTACTGAGCTACATGGACCCAATGGTCAGACTCAGTATCTGGCACCTTTCCAGGTTCCTAAAGCCCACTAATCATAATTTTAGGCAAGAAAAGCTGCCTGGATAATATTTGTATGTTTCTTTTATGTGTCCCAACCCATGCAACTCCTTGGTTTTGTAGGATTTCTCCTTTGTGCACAAATCTTCCACCTTTCAGCCCTTTGTGGGCTCCTCCATGTTTGCTCCTCTGAAGATGCTTCCCAGCCAGTGCCTGCTACCTCTGAAGATCCCAGAGACCTGTGTCTATCGGCCTTCCTGGGCCATTCCTCCAAAAATCGAACAACTTCCTTTACCGCCTACAGCTGCTTTCATCAGAGATGGATACAAGTAAGTACAGCAGTGGAAATGAGAAAACGGGTTTGTGTGTTTTTGCATAGTCATGCAGGATATTCATTGACTTCCTTGTTAATCCACCGTGTATGATTTTTACGTAGCCTTTGGGATTAACTTGGAACGTAATGAGGTGGAGAGGAGGCTATTTAGAAGTACCGTTAATTCTGCCAAGAATGATCTGGGCATGATTTTTATCAATCAAATATTTAAAAAACTACCATGATAGGTGTAGCCATGGAGGTCAATTCCCATATCTGTCAGCCACAAAAGAGAGACAGGTGACAGAAGCGACTGCTTTCTCACTTCTTTTGAAAAATCCTTCATGCATGCACATCCAACACCCCAAATTACTTCACTGGGATTTATACAGCCTTGTTGGCCTCTTCAGGTTTCTGTTTCTTAGCGTAGCATGCACTGCTTACCTCTGTGCAGAACACCCAGCTCCAGTGGTGCTTAGTGGCACAAGACTGTCTTCCCAGCGCAGCCACGGAACTCCTGCTTTCTGCCCTCCCTGTCTTCTCTCTCCCCTTTAATTTGTGGCTCTTGAGCCACACTCGGTTTCTGGTTCCCTTTAAGATGCTTGTGTGTACAACAGACCTTTACTCATGCAGAGACCTAGGGTGGGGAGAGAGTCATGGCTGTGTTCCTCTTTCCTGGAAGCATCCTTGAGTGAGCTACTGTCAGGGCTCCCTGAGAGGCAGGCTAACCTTCTGACCCTGACAACAATGGTTAGGGTGATGGCTGCCCTTCCCACTGCTAATGTACAATCAAATGAGGGGGAACGTTAGTCATTATTTTCACATCATATCAAGCTTAGGGTTAGCCAGCTCTTAACACTGGCATAAAGTGCCCATTGCACCTCTTAGCTCATAGATCAAGGATGGAGAACATTGGGCCTGGGGGTCAAATCTGGCCTTTAGGACCTTCTCCAGCCACACACTCTTCTTCTCAGGCCTTCTGTGCTCCCTCCTTGCATGTTTTGGCCTGGCTAGAATGTGTCACTGAATTCTGACGATTCTTCTGGCGTGGCTGGCCGGAGGATGGACAGGGCTGTGTGACGTTGTATACAAAGTAGCCTATTGCACAGTGGTAAATTTTAGATTCACTGCTGTTCCCACCTTTGCTGCTGACCTTGCCCATCACTGGCATGAAGGTTGCCTGGAAGGGAATGCAGTTGCAAAGGTTCCTTGCGCCCATCATAGAAAGAGGAGGTTGACCTTAATGCCAGTCAAGTTTTTTCTCCCATTACTTACTTCCTTGTCCAGCTAGCTGGCTCTTCCTGGTCCAGACACAGCCTGCCCATTTGCTGTGCTCTGATCCTCTCCTCTCTGAAGTCAGTGCCAGTATATCAACTAAGAATTAATTGGAACCCTATTTAGCAGTCTCAATGAAATGTAAAGCCCAGCTGCTGATCTCGAAACACAGCGAGCATGGAAACCATAAAATGTATGAAACCCCTTAAAAATGGAACATGCAATGTAAGGCTCTCCCATCCGCAGTCAATTGATTTTTAGAGGGGAAGCAGCTAATATCTTTATATCAGTCCTTTATATCAATCACTTTCTTCAAAGGTTCTTCGGTGTTCTCTGAGGAATTGCAAAAAAAGGAAAAGACAGGGGAAATGTGAAGCTCTTGACACCACCTAGGCAGCAATTTATTTTCTTTTTTCCCCTGTAATGGTAACTACTTCCCAAGGCCTGAGCTGATTATTAATTGCAGGTATTTATTGGGATAAAAATCTTTTATTTCCAGTGTAATCCAATTAGAGCAATGACTGTTACTGCAGGCTTCTGCGAAAGAGGTGATTGCTAATCAAGATTTCTTGGTCACCTTTTGTTGCTTCTCAGAGGCACTCGCTGCGCTTCAGCTTCTTTCTAAACCTGTAGGCTGTTCCCCTCCCATTCCCCATTTCATTTTCCCTGACTGGCACTCCAGTCCATTAGAGATAACAGGGAAATTATTCTGGAGAATCAAGTTTCACTGCATTTCCTTCTCAAATTGCTGGCAGAATGGGAGTTCAAAATGAATATTTAAACTTTCACATTAGCTGAAGAGGGAAAGTAGAAGCATTTAAATCTGCAGGTTTCTACTCCTTCATCAGGGGAGCAATTGCCATAAGGAGCACATTTTAAGAAAAGTGTTTTTATTAGCAATGGTAAGTAGGAACAACTGTGGAGATCTGCATCCATGTTGCCCTTACTGTGCAATTCCATGGCAGTTGTGCATGTGTCATCTAAAAGTAGCTTCTTGGTGAAATGGAAGGCCGTTTCCTGATGATAGAAATTTGAGAAATTAATTGTGCAGTTTTGAATAATGTGGAATACAAGTGTTGGCCTCTTCCAGTTGTGGCACAAGCAGACAGCAAACTCCAAAGGCTAGTTTGCAAGCAGAGATCTGAATTTCAACAGCTTACGAAACTTACCCAGGATTAGGTGAAGTAGGTATAAATCAGTTAAAATATAAGATCCATATTCAGAAGCAAGCACTTTAAGTGCTGTTATTCCTATACATGTTTGTGCTGTCTTGTGGCTGTCTTATTTATTCAGCATTCTGTTTTCCTTCCAAGCTGTTGCACTGCTAATAGTGACCTGGCTCCAGCCACTTGGTAGATGCATTTTTTAATTTTTAATTTGTAAAGCTTGGTGTATTTTTTTGTTCATGTCTTTCCTGTGCCGTATCAGAAAGCTCCTTAATTTGGTTGTTGACGAGATCTCTTGTGGCATGCTATGGATAAGGCTTCAATAAGACAGAACTCTGTACAGTGGTACCTCGGGTTAAGAACTTAATTCGTTCTGGAGGTCCGTTCTTAACCTGAAACTGTTCTTAACCTGAGGTACCACTTTAGTTAATGGGGCCTCCTGCTGCCGCTGCCCCGCTGCCACACGATTTCTGTTCTCATCCTGTAGCAAAGTTCTTAACCCGAGGTACTATTTCTGGGTTAGCGGAGTCTGTAACCTGAAGTGCCTGTAACCGAGGTACCACTGTATCCACTTCCCATTTAGATGAAAGTTGTGTGATGAAACCATAAACACAGCCAGATAACTCTTCCTGTTTCCCTTTATCTGCTCTTAGCAACGTCCCCAGTGTTGGGAGCCTGGCCGATCAAGACTACATTCAGATGAACACTCCCCAGATGAGCACTCCAGTGACGCTAAATAGCGCTGCCCCGGCCAGCAACAGTGGGGCGGGAGTATTGCCTTCCCCGGCCACTCCTCGTTTTTCTGTCCCTACGCCACGCACACCCAGGACCCCAAGGACTCCTAGAGGTGGGGGCACTGCCAGCGGGCAAGGATCCGTCAAGTATGACAGCACGGACCAAGGTTCGCCAGCATCGACGCCTTCCACAACCCGGCCTCTCAATTCCGTGGAGCCGGCCACAGTGCAACCAATCCTGGAAGCCCACAGCCTGTACGTCACACTCATCCTTTCGGACTCCGTGCTGAACATCTTCAAAGACAGCAACTTCGACAGCTGCTGCATCTGCGCGTGCAACATGAATATCAAAGGTGCCGACGTTGGGCTGTATATCCCGGATTCATCGAACGAGGACCAGTATCGGTGCACTTGTGGATTCAGTGCAATTATGAACCGCAAGCTAGGGTACAACTCTGGGCTGTTCATCGAGGATGAACTGGATATTTTTGGCAGGACTTCAGACATTGGCCAGGTGGCAGAGAGGAGATTGATGATGTGTCAGACCACCTTGATTCCTCAGCTGGGAGAAGGGTCCAAAAGGGCTCAGGAGCCCCCAGTAAGCCTCCTCCTCCTCCTCCAGAATCAGCACACCCAGCCTTTCACCTCCCTGAGCTGCTTGGACTACATGTCCGCCACTAGCAGGCAGTCACTGTCTTACACAAACTGGAGTTATGACAGAGTTCAGGCAGAGAGCAATGACTCCTGGATCGAGTGCTTCAATGCTCTGGAGCAAGGCAGGCAGTATGTGGATAACCCCACGGGTGGGAAAGTGGATGAAGCTCTAGTCAGAAGTGCGACAGTTCACTCTTGGCCTCACAGCAACGGTGAGATTTTGCTTTTCGCTTCGGTGTTTCGGAAAACACTTCTGGGTGCTATGGTTAATTATTTTATTTTTATTGTTGTTGTCAACTTCATTTCAATATAAGGGTGGTTCACAGGGTTAGTTTCTCAAACTTCTGAGTTCACCAACTCATAGAATTGTACAGATGGAAGCAGAGCCAGCATGGGGCATTTTGCTGCTAGCAGCAAAGCAGAAATGCCGCCCCCCATCGCTGCCACCTCTGCTGCATGCCCACCCACCATGTGCCCATTGTCTTGCACCTGCCAACTGCTGACTAACAGCAGCAGTGGCCACTCGGGTGAGTGCGCAGTGGCAGGTGTGCATTGGGTACCCAGTGGAGGAGGTAGTGGCACTGAGTGTTGCGTTCCTCTGAGGCTGGATCTGCTGCCCTTCTCGGCTGTCTGGAGCCTGGCGCCCTGAGGCAGCTGTCCCACCTTGCCGCATGGGCAGACTGGCCCTGATTGGAAGGGACCCAAAGGGGCGCGTAGTCCAACCTCCCACAGTGCAGGAATCACAGCACATCACTCCTTGATGTGCTTTTAATTTGCCTTCAACCCGAACCCCAAATTCTTGGGAGTGCAAACTAAATAAAGTCAAGAAATATCAATATACAATCAACACTTATAAATCATCAGTCACCATTACGAGGAATCTTAAAATGTAAAATTGTTGTATTATCAGATCATCTAATTAAATACAGAGATTCCTCACTGGCAGTGGAGGTGAACATGCCTATGATCTTGTAAATTTACTTTTTGACCCTCTTTCATCCCCTTTATTCATGCCCTGCCCACCCTGCATAGTCCTATTTGTTGGCCAGACAAAATTTAATAACTCAGAGAAAGAGAGAGAAGTGGTAGCTCAGAGGTAAAATGCATGTTTTGCATATGGAAGGTCCCAGGTTCAATCTTTGGCATCTCCAGTTAAAAAGATCACATAACGGAAAAATGACAGAGGCCCTTTGTTGCCTCAGACCATAGAGAGTGGCTGCCAGTCAGAGTAGACATTACTGAGTTAGATGGACAAATATACTGACCTGGCGTGAGAAGCGCCTGAAGTTTCCTGGGTTTGATCGTTAGCCCTTTACTGCTGTTCATTTCAAATTCTGATATGATACAGTATTATTCTGCACAAGCAGAATATTCTGCACAAGTGTGGAGTGCTTCTATTTGGGGTTCTAACTTCTCAGTTCATTTTGCCCTTTCCATCCCTGATGCTGACCTACAGCAGTCAGCATTCTATGCCAACTTCACTTGTCCATTGGACTGTTTAGCGATTTCTTTTGCAGGTAAGCTGAACACACTGGTGGCCAGTTTCAGTTACATTAAAATTCTTGATTTATTTATTTCTATTAGCAGCTCTAACATCCATCCCTGGGGACATTTTAAACACTTTCCCAGTTGACCTACCTCTGCAATGATGTGATGTTGTGTACCTTTTTTTATGTCCATGTGTCTTGTCCTCCCCCATTTCTGAAAACTCCATTCTTCCTCCTGGTTTTCATCCCTAGCCCAATTGTCAGTCAATATTCTGAACAGTGGGTTCTCTGTACTTCTGTACTTACCCAGTGCCTGCTGATAACCTCTCTTTTATGCATGGCTGTTGACATTTTGTTTCGATCAGCAATGGCACTTAAATGATTGAATGTCATTTAGAATGTATGGTGCTCTACAATATTAAGCTGTGTATGTTTTGAGTGCCTGTATTCTGTTTTCTGAACTCCACTTATTTTAACAAGACTCGGCAGCCACTGGAAGCATGTAGGTCATGCATGTGATATTCTGCAGAGCCTCTTAACATGTGGACAAGGGACTATGCCCAGTGGAGCTCTCATTCTTTTTCAACTTCAAACTGCTTTTTGAAAGTCACACAAGGATTTCAAGTGTCTTGCAAATTGCAGAATGTGTGAAAGCTGTGCATGCACATCTCAGAACTGTGGCTTATGTGCATCTTCTGTAAGATCTTCTTTTGGGTGAGGCTTCTAGAGATCAGAGTATAGTGTTGGATACCACCAGAAAGATGAAAAAGACTTCCTTGGAATTTTGAAACTACTATTAATATATTGATGGATAAAAAAGTAAGATACTCTGTGATTATTATTTTCTTTTAAAGCAAGGGAATTGAACCATTTTGGATGCCTGTCACTGTATTCTTGAGTCTAGCTGCTTTGTTGTTGTTTTTCAGTTCTAGACATCAGCATGCTCTCCTCCCAGGACGTAGTACGCATGCTTCTGTCTCTCCAGCCTTTCCTCCAAGATGCCATCCAGAAGAAGCGGACTGGCAGGACCTGGGAAAACATCCAGCATGTCCAAGGACCCCTCACCTGGCAGCAGTTCCATAAAATGGCAGGACGGGGAACCTATGGTACAGCAAACACACCTATACTTTTATTTCTTTGTGCTGGTGCAGGAGATCACAGCTTTCTAGATTTAAAAATGGCAGGTGTGGGATGCACATTGCCATGTGTGTTATCCAGTAGGCACCATGCCAGCTGCGCTCCATGCACCATTCACACCCAACAGTCATTGTGCTGGCTGTGGTTTTCACAGCAGCAAAACCATTATTGCTTGATTGCAAGGCATTTCCGGTAACCTTTCTGTGGAGGAAGTGGCTCCATGGGAGGTGTCCGGAGCCATAGGGTACTTTTTGCATTGAAAGCTAGTCTTGGAAAGCCTGTCAAAGCTCAGCCTGTGGTGTCTTGAGTTCTCTGACACTTCCTTCCATGTTGATTCAGGTTCAGAGGAGTCTCCTGAGCCTCTTCCAATCCCCACTTTGCTGGTCAGCTATGACAAGGACTTCCTGACAATCTCTCCGTTCTCCTTGCCATTCTGGGAGAGGCTGCTGCTGGACCCATATGGAGGCCATCGGGATGTTGCTTATATCGTGGTGTGTCCAGAAAACGAGGCCTTGCTTGATGGAGCCAAAACTTTCTTCAGGGACTTGAGCGCCGTATATGAGGTTGGTGAGCAAGAGGGAGTTTCGTAAGGTTTATTAGGACTCTGTGCCCTCGCCCCCCACCCGCAATAAAAAAGCAGGTGTCCGTGACCGAAATTCTAGCAAACAGCAGCCCTCGTCTTTTGTCTTTCATTTGTGCCCCAACAGATTACACCATCAGCATCTATTATTGGAAAAATGGCATAGCTAGAGCAGCATGGGAAGGCTAAAGGCAATAATTGGGACACGGGTGGCTCTGTGGGTTAAACTACAGAGCCTAGGACTTGCTGATCAGAAGGTCAGTGATTCGAATCCCCGTGACAGGGTGAGCTCCCGTTGCTCGGTCCCTGCTCCTGCCAACCTAGCAGTTTGAAAGCATGTCAAAGTACAAGTAGATAAATAGGTACCACTCCGGTGGGAAGGTAAGCGGCATTTCCGTGCGCTGCTCTGGTTCGCTAGGAATGGCTTAGTCATGCGGGCCACATGACCTGGAAGCTGTACGCTGGCTCCCTCAGCCAATAAAGCGAGATGAGCGCTGCAACCCCAGAGTCGGCCATGACTGGACCTAATGGTCAGGGGTCCCTTTACCTTTACCTAGCCTTTGCCAACCTGGTCCCTTCTGCACCGGTTTTAGTTTGTGACTCCCATCAGCTCTAGCAAGCACAAACTTGCTGAGGCTCATGGGCAGAGCCATAGCTAGGTGATCTTGCGCCCTGGCAGAACTGTCCACATTGTGCCCCCTAGACACTGACAAATTCACTCTTCTTTCTGACTCTCCTCCAACCTGCCCCCCATTCAATTCTTTTTTTTTTTTTTAATAAAATTTTTATTGGTTTTAGAAACTTTTTAAACAAAAAACAAACAAACACCAAAAATGACAAACATACACGTATAGTTTCAAACATATTTTCATAAACTTCTTTCCTTTGACTTCCCCATACCCCCCCTCTCTGCATCCCAATGTCCAAAGTTCAACTAGCAACTCCCAATCGTTATTTTCCAATCTCTGTCTTCTTAATCCTTTTTTACATTTCTAACCTTATATCCCTGTATCCCTTTGTTTCTGGAAACCACAACATTTTAGCATTCATTAAGTTTATAGTAGTCCTTAAGATAACTTTTAAATTTTCTCCATTCTTCTTCCACCGTCTCTTTTCGTTGGTCACGGATTCTGCCTGTCATCTCGGCCAATATCATATAGTCCATCACTTTCATCTGCCATTCTTCCAAAGTGGGTAGATCTTGGGTCTTCCAATACTTTGCGATGAGTATTCTTGCTGCTGTTGTAGCATACATAAAGAAAGTTCTATCCCTCTTTGTCACCAATTGGCCGACAATGCCCAAGAGAAAGGCCTCTGGTTTTTTCGAGAAGGTACATTTGAGTACCTTTTTGATTTCATTATAGATCATTTCCCAGAAGGCCTTAATCTTCGGGCATGTCCACCAAAGGTGGTAGAAGGTACCTTCAGTCTCTTTACACTTCCAACATTTGTTATCGGGCAGATGATAAATTTTTGCCAGCTTGACTGGGGTCATGTACCACCTGTAAATCATTTTCATTATGTTTTCTCTTGCCCCCCATTCAATTCACCCTCTATTTAAAACATTTTCTTATGAGGTAATAATCAATATTTTTATTTATAGACATATTTATGAACATATTTTAAAGCCGATTTTGTGCCCCCCTTGCTTGTGCCCCTGGCGGGGGCCCACCTCACCACCCCCTAGTTACAGCCCCTAGCTCATGGGAGTTGCAGATTAAAAACATCCAGAGGGCAGCAGGTTGGCAATGTCCGCTTTAAGGCATCAGATTCTCTCTTCAAGATAACCAGGGTTGCAAAAACTGCAATTTTAGCATGGGCAATTAGAATAAGATCTATTATTTCATTATTGATATATTTTGTATACTTAAGTTTTTGCCTCTATCTTCAGTACGCTTCTTTTTATTTTATTGCTATGGCTAGTGGCTGATGCAAATAAAGATTCTTCTGATTCTGATTCAGCAGATTCTCAAAGAAGCAGAAAATTAGTGTCATATCCGGGGGTGTGGGGGTGTTCTTTGGAGTATACAAACCTTTTTCTTAGCCTAGCACACCAGGGGGATCATGAGGTAAGGAATAATACCTACAATTCTTTGAAACATTGGCACATTTGGATTATATGCAATTGCTCGTGTTGGTTTAATTTTATTTTTGGAAAGCCCTGTTATTGTGTAGCATTGCCAGTCCATTCAATTTTCTGTTTATTCTCAGAGGCACACACCTATTTTTTTATTATTTCCAGTCCAAGACAGCGGTAATACTTTAATTATCCACTAGGATGCAGTAATGCTTAAGCAACAAGTCAGGGTGGGTAACAGAAACAGAGACTTTTGCAATTTCCACAATTGCAAATATTGTGTCGCAGGAAAGCTTTGTTGCAATTGCTCACTGTTTTAGTGTGATATCCTGAGATAGCTCAGAGTGCTTGAGTTCCAGTGAAAGTCATGGCAGATAAGCACACTGGCACTGAAATAAATTGCACTTGGGCAAACTTGGATTTTTCTTTTCTGTCCTTTAGGCTTAATTGTGAGCCAGTTGAAATAAAGTGAGAGATGGACTGTTTGTTTCATTTATGCTTTACCTGTGGGAGTATCCCATTTTTAAAAAAATAAATAAATGCTGGATTGGGGATGCATGTTCAGACCTCTGAAGATTTCTAGAACTAGATCTGTGATTTGTGAATATGTATTGCACTACTACAATCAGTTTTCCTCTTTATGTCTCCAGATGTGTCGACTTGGTCAACATAAACCAATCTGTAAAGTGTTGCATGATGGGATCATGCAAGTGGGAAAGACTGTAGCCCAGAAGCTGACAGATGAGCTTGTGAGTGACTGGTTTAACCCACCCTGGGGCAATGAAGACTGTGACAATCATTCCAGGCTCAAACTTTATGCGCAAGTCTGTCGTCACCACCTAGGTAAGTGCAGAGACAGAGTAGGTCGGAGGCAATTCATTTCAGCTGGGCTCTTCAGCTTGAAAGCCCAGACACTTTACATTCTCTCAATGGTGCTGCCTGTCCCAAAGGTTGCATAGGTAGCCAAGAGCAGAAGGATAGTTTTGATGGACTGAACTCTAAAGGTCCATCTAGTTCAGCGTCCTCTTTCCATCGGTGGTCAGCCACGTGCTTCTGGGAAGCATATAAACAGACATGAGGGTAACACCTCTCCTTATATATGGAGCCTAGTTCTCATGGCTAATAGTTATTTTTACATTTCTCTCCCCGGGCTTGTGTTGGGGTGATTTTCTTGTAGTTGCTTAATCTTGGCAGGTATATCCTGTTTTTCCAACCAGCCTGACTTCTTTTACTGCTCACACTTTGTTCTGAATCTGTTGAGCATTGGCTGAAAAAACTGATGTATGTGATGATTCATGAGGTCAGTTTCTTGGCTGCTGGATGCGATATCCGATCAAATGGTCATGATTAGCACACTATATTTTCTGGGGCATATAGTGGAAAGAATTGGCATTCTCTGGCTTTCTCCTATGTGGCCCAGCTGTAGCCTTCTCTGCTTCTCTGTTACTGCTAAGGGAACTCTACTCTGTCCTAAGCTTAGTCATAGACAAGCCAGAAAGGAGGAAGCGTATACAAATCAACATGCCCCTGCCTTGGGATAATCAGGAGATACAATCTTCTAGGCAGATGCCCTCTACTATATGCGGGAACATTGCTCCTTCCTTCAGTAAGATACAGGTTCAGAACCATGCAACTTTATGTTCCACTCTATCCCCAAGACATGGGATAGCCTACGGTGTTAACTTTTTTAAAAAAGGGGGGGGCAAGGAAAAACAGCTTTCTACTAATACGTAACCTCAAATCAAAAGGGAGGTCTCATCAAATTGTGTGTGAAGGAGGAAGGGGAGTGATTATTCCCTGGCCAGTGTGGGGAACATCCTACACACCAGTATGTGAAAAGTGCCAGCACCTTATTTGGTCCATTGAGTAATGGATGAGGCCTGTCCTTCCCAACATAACTCCAGAACAACTTCCAGGATTGGAATTCATATGCTGAATCCTCAGTTAAGCACATACCAGTGAAACCTGTCAGTAACGTAAACAGCCAGTTCCCAGGACATTTTGCAAAATTGGATTTATACATCTGTACTCCTTGGGCTTCCAGAGCAAGCAATAAAAAGGAAACTTCATGATTTCCCTTTCCTCCCACTTGTCACACGGCAGGGACTCTGCAGTGCCACTTGACTCCCAGTCAGTAAAGTCCTTATCAAGGAAATAATTCTGCCTGCCTGCCTGACTCTTGTTTTGAAAGCCTAGACTTTGTGGTGCTTTTTTTGCTTGCTGTTGCCAAGGCTTGCCCTTCAGGCAGCCTTTTTCTCGGTCATGATTTTTAACATCTTTGCATCTGTGTATTCTTTCAGCACCTTACTTAGCTACTTTGCAACTTGACAGCAGCCTGCTGGTGCCACCTAAACACCAGACAGCACCAGCACCACCACCAAGCCAGGAACAAACGCTACCCGGGAATTCTGCACCGATTCCTCCCAATTCGGCCTGCCTTGCTGCGCCTGGGGCTCCCCCAACTGGCAGTTCTTTCACCCCCACACCCAACGGAGGGACCACAAGCCTCCCAGGAGGCAACAGTTCAACCTCTGGATCCACAGTGCCACAGCTGTCAGCATCCTCCTCAGTGCCCAGTATTAACCAGACAAGCACTACCTCCTCTTCAGGGTTCAGCGGTGGCCTACCTCAAGGTCAAAACCCTATTCTTGGTGTAAATTCTACGGAGAGACCCCAAGGAAGCACAGTCTCCGGAGGAGATGCAGAGACAGGGCATAATTCATCTCAACAGCAGCAAGAAGGACAGGAAAGGTAACATTCAGAGCAGAGGGTTTTTAGCTCTGTTTCTCTACATGTGTATATCTGATGTTCTGTAGTTTATCCCTACATACTATACGATGACTGGTGATTTTTGTTGCTGTTGACGCTCTGCTCATAATCTTGAACGCAGCATTAAGACTGCTTAAGCCAATTGATTTCAGCCGCTTTGCTTTCCGACATTTCTAGTCCAAATCCTGTCACCCAAAGATCCCAAGGCAGATGGAACGTATACATACAAATGCAAGAGTAGCACTGTTAAACCAAATCAGAATACGTCAGCATGGATGGGATTGCCCCAAACTAAAATATTCACCCTGAGAACTCCTTGTTAGAGGGTTTAGGGAGGCATAACTCTGTGTAGAATCATTGAATTGGAAGGGACCCAAAGGGCCATTTAGTCCCAACTCCCTCCTTTGCAGGAACCACAGCTAAGCCTGTGTTCTGCTGCAACCAACGCTAAGGCGTTGGGATAGCCCAAGGTAACCTCGTAGCACTAAGCTGCTGTCTCTTAATAATTCGCTTTTTCTGTGCCTTTGGAGCAAGCCGGTCCTCTTTTCTCTGGCTGCTTCAGGGCCTCCCCCTTCCTTTCCCCCTATGCCTCTTTTCCATAGCCCCCCACGTGCGTAATCTCTTTACTGAAGACGTTTTAAACCGGCACTTAACACCCTGTTCTTTTCTAGTTCTGCAGAGAGGGAGAGGATAGGAATTCCAACGGAACCTGAGTCGGCAGATAGCCACGCCTACCCTCCGGCTGTCGTCATCTACATGGTGGATCCTTTCACCTACACTGCCGAGGAGGAATCCACCTCTGCCAACTTCTGGCTCTTGAGCTTGATGCGGTGTTACACAGAGATGCTGGACAACTTGCCTGAACATATGAGGAATTCTTTCATTCTCCAGGTAACTTATCTATTTATATAGAAATTTTTATAGTGGGCCCTTCTAGCCACTAAAACCCATTTAAAAGCAACCTCGGCAGCAGAGATCACAAGTAAAAATGACCTTAGCAGGCAAAAAACATTTTCATTGGTCGGCAAAAGACAGCCAGAGAGGGGGCTATCTGTTCTTTATGGGGCAAGATATTCCACAGTATTGGTGCAACCACAGAAGCTCTATTCCTAGTCATCCTCAACAGTGCCTCCACACTCACAAGGGACACAGAGAGGGGCCTCTCCTTCTGATCTTTGGAAGCAAGGAGGGTGATAAAGGAGGAGGTCCCTCAGGTGTCCTGGGCCCAGGCCACTTAGAGAGAGACCGGTTTGCCTCTTAGATTTTGAGCCAAATGGTGCTCTTGCCAGCTCATTATGTGCCTTGCTTATATCCACGAACCTGTAGTTTGGTTTGTAAGTACATGGCCTTTTGCCAGTGGAAATCAGAGCTCTAAATAGAACACAGCATGACATATTGAATATAGCACATTCTCTTCTGCAAGATTCTTCCGGACAGCACAGTTTGTGCAAACGTTTTTAGAGCAACGTGTCTTTTTGTGAGTTTATTGTGGCTTGGGAGCAGAAATTAAATTTATGTAGGGTAGGGTACATCACATACCCCTAGTAGCAAATATCTCATAGGACACCTGCACAGGACATCCTGCAGAACCATTCAAATTAAGATCTTGATTTAATCTCATTTGCTTTGTGAATGTAGCTGTGTTGGAAGACCGTAGCAGATTTTTGCTGGCCCTGTAGCAAGATAAAGCACAAAAATCTTGGGAGGAAATTGGCAGTGGCCATTAGGCACATATTGAATGTGTGATGTGTCTACTGTACCCAGGAGTAATGATGATGATGATGATGATAATAATAATAAATAATAAATGATATTGTTTAGACCCCACCCATCTGGCTGGGTTTCCCCAGCTGCTCTGGGCAGCTTCCAGCAAAATATACAAAATACTAACTTGTCAGACATTAAAAACTTCCCTGAACAGGGCTGCCTTTTGATGTTTTCTAAAAGTTGTGTAATTCTTTATCTCCCTGACATCTGATAGGAGGGTGTTCCACAGGGAGGGTGCCACTGCCAAGAAGGCCCTCTGCCTGGAGCCCTTTGATTACAACAGACAATTAGTTCAGTGTTTATTCTGTAAAGATCTTGACCTCCAGATGAGTCTGAGGTTTAATTCTCACAAACAGCAAAGTAAACATGTATCCGGAGTATTAACAGCAATTGCAGCTCATACGATGGAACACTTACCCATGGGGGGGAAATTACCTCTATGTATTTATTTTATTTACAGCATTTCTATACCACTTAATACATTAAGTGGACAGAAAACTGAAGCAGCAACAGACAACTTAAACAAAAATATTGCAAAAATACAGAGTTACATATAAAAATGTTACATTAATACAGAGTTACATTCAGAGAGAGAGAGAGAGAGAGAGAGAGAGAGATCAGTTTATTTTCCTTCTGACACACCCTCCCTTTCAGCCTCTGGGTTCTCACCCAGGATCCCCCAAAACTCTCAGCTCACTCATAAAAGTCTCACAACGAGAAGACTAGTCTCTCACTCTAGATTTGCTTTTTATGGGCAGGCCCACAGCTGTACCCCATTCAGCTACACTCTCCACACCCAGTTCCAGTTACAACAGCAGGCTTCCCAGGGAGTCCAAAGAATGGGAAAGTGTGCCCCCCCAGCTCTTTCTTCACTCCCTGTCCTCTCCTCCTCTGCCTCCAACTAGATAGAGTTAGCCTGTCAGGGAGAAGCCTTGGCCAGGACCTTTTCTACTTGATAGCCATCATGGAAGCCTCATTTCTGGATGAAAGAATATCCCATCCTCTTGAGTTCCTATCATTGTGAAGTCGAACAGCCAAGGAGCAGGTTTCCTATTGCAGCTGCTGTTTTTGAGAGCCTGGCTTAAAACATAGCTTTTCTGACAAGTACTTGGGTGTCAGAGGTTCTCTTGAGGCCATGGAGTTGCAGTACATCAGACACACACATGAAAATTGCTTCTAGATGACTAAGCAGTGGCATAATGGGACTATTGAAATGGCATCAGTTTGTGTGAACTCGCTCAGCTCACCCCAGTCTGTGGCAAATGGCTCATGTTGTAGAACAGGCAGAATAACAGTGATTGCTTCACACATTAAGGGAACAGCGTGTCCAGGTTTTCTACTCTCAAAAAGCTACAACCTCCAAAACAGTTAAAAAATTATCAGGTTTCTTGCTTGCTTTCACTTTTGTGTATACGGGCAAAAAAAAATTCTTTATGGGTGCCCCTTAAATATTAAACATGCGAACATATCCTAAGATGAGCCTTATAATCCTGACTTGGTTCCTCTGTCTATCACACTCTAGATTGTGCCTTGCCAATACATGCTGCAGACCATGAAGGACGAGCAAGTCTTTTACATTCAGCACTTGAAGTCTCTGGCGTTCTCTGTCTACTGCCAGTGCAGGCAACCGCTGCCCACACAGATCCACATCAAGTCCCTGACCGGCTTTGGGCCAGCAGCCAACATCGAGATGACTCTCAAGAACCCGGAGGTGAGTACTCTAGCAAACACACACAATAACCAGCCCCGCCCTGGAAAGCTGAAACAGAACCCGGTACTTGGCCTGAAGTATCTAATTGCTGTCTTGTGCCCAAGTTATTGCAAGAAGCAGGCAGAGGAGGATGTGGCAGTTGCTTTGAATCGCTGCTTGAGAAACCGAGAGCAGCGATGGTCTCCTCAATGCATTGAGGAGGTTAACTGCACAGTTGGGTTTGCAGCCTAACCCTGCCACCCTGAATTTTAGAAGCCTCGAAGCTGAATGATCATTTGCTTCCTTTTCACATGTTACTAAACACCTTAATACGTGTCTCTTGGAATGATGCAAACACACCGATGCATTGTCTCATCACCCTTAGGTCAGTAGAACTTCCAACTGTGCAGATCAACAAAACAAAACAAAACACCACCCAGAAATATGACACTGTAAAAATAATAAATAAAAATGGTGGTGTCAAATGCTGTCTTCCTTGAGCCAAGGATTTATCAGTTGCATAGTGGAACCTGAATGAGCACCTCCATTGACTTATATATACACTCAGGGTTTCTAAAGTAAGCAGCACAAGAACAGACGTCTACATCAGTGCATCTAACCATAAAAGATGCATATAAAATTATTCTGGAGAACTGCATTATCTCACGTGGCTTGACTCTTTTATACGTGATATATATATGTAATTCGTTTATTCTTTGGCATGTCATTATTTGAGGAGAAAGGACAACAACCATGCACTAGCAGTTGAGGCATAAGCTCATGCTTGATGCAAGAAGCTCACTTGGGTCAGAGCCGACAAATTCCACGTAGAAATCTGTTTAAACACCATTCCTCCTCCATCTCAGTTCAAAACTTTGTTACATATTGTGATGAGAGAGGTGAGAGAGGAGGGAGTGAATGAATGGGCACAACACCTGTCCTTGCTCTGAAAAAATAATAATACCTATGTTCTGATCTTGTTTTGAGAAGTTTTTATGAACTGGCTGCCCCACTACGCAATGGATTTTTATCTATTTATTTGAAGTATTGATATGCTGCTTAATCATTAAGTGGTGTACACAAAATTACAATTAAAAATAAACCACACAAAGGGTAACAGCAAGATGGGTGCCTGCCTAATCTCAGATGGGAGGGAGTGCCACAGGCGTGGGCATCCAACACTGAATGCACTGCTTCTAGCCATAGAGGACCATGGAGGAGTGTTGGTATCAGATCATCCTTAAGATGAAAATACTGAGATATTTGCTGTTTGAGTGTTCAAGGCGTACAGTGCTGGTAGCTCTCCACAGCCCTTGCTTCAGACAAATGGCATACCATAAGCAGAAAGCTGCTGTGACCTTAAAAGCTTTTTCCACATCTTACGTGATGTCTTCTTCTTTTTACAGCGGCCCAGCCCCATTCAGCTGTACTCCCCTCCGTTTATCCTGGCACCCATCAAAGACAAACAGACAGAGCTCGGGGAGACCTTTGGAGAAGCCAGCCAGAAGTACAATGTGCTCTTTGTTGGGTATTGTTTATCTCACGACCAGCGGTGGCTTCTGGCCTCCTGCACCGACCTGCACGGCGAGTTGTTGGAAACCTGCATTGTCAACATCGATTTGCCAAACAGGTAAGGCAGAAAATCGGGTTTCTGCACATAGTAGCTAAGCATGCACTTTGCACGCAGAAGGTTTCAGTAATCCGCAGCATTTCCAGTTTGGGGGATCTTGGATGGCTTGGCTTGGCTTGGCTGGACAAGCCCTTTATTTCCCTGACATCTTAGAGTACTTCTGCTAGCCACAGAAGAGGCAGTACTGTATTATTATTATTAGTAGTAGTAGCATTAGCATTAATTAATTAATTATTATTATTTCCATTTATAGACTTCTTACTATCTAAAATATCTCAAAGCAGTTTATGCACACCATGAGCAAATAAAACCATGTCAAATGATTCACATAGCAAAATTCATAATATCCTTATGCATAAACATAAATATAAAATTTCAAACAACGCAACATACACACAATCAGCCATCCAATCTCTCTCATCATCTATTTCACACAACCACTGCAACCATTCACTACCTCAAGCATCATCAACCGCCCATACGTAAACTACTCACATTCAACAATATTGCAGCCCACATTTGAAGGGTCACTGCCAAGCATACACAAATAAGATACCCTCTGAAGCAGTACTGGACTCATGACCCATCACTGCTGGACCATCTAATACCTCTCATCTCTCACCTAAGAAGGGCCCAGATCTATATCAGGCTAGATCAGGCTCTCACCTTGGAGGGTATAGAGCTACTTCCATCCACTCACTTCCAACTACAGAATCAGTTGATTAGGTGGACTAGCAGTCTGGCTCTGTTTACAGACAATTCATATAGTCACCCCGATGGTGCTCAAAGTTCTTGTTTGGTTGCCCATGTGAGAAGAAATACTCTTCAATGTGAATCTATACTACTGCTTTCCAGTTCTTCACAGATGGAGCATACGTTTTAGAAATCCCATGAATTCGCAACTTAAATTAGGTTATTGCTACCCTAGGCTGAAATACAAAAATATTCTTTTGTTCTCTCATCTTCATAGATCAAGGAGGTGCAAGGTATCGGCCCGTAAAATTGGCTTGCAGAAGCTGTGGGAATGGTGTATTGGGATCGTCCAGATGACATCACTGCCCTGGAGAGTTGTGATTGGACGCCTTGGGCGACTAGGCCATGGGGAGTTGAAAGGTATGCTGAGCACGTGCTCTTTAACAGGTTGTAAAGCATAGCAACAGGTACTGACTTGGGGAACAAAGTTGCTTATGGTATTATGTTACTTGGAAGAGAACCCTTGCTGACAGCACGACAGTACAGATTAAAACCACACTAAGCCACAACAGTCTTGAGCTCAGTTTAACCCCCAGTTAAGAAGTCCGGGGGTCTTCACCTGTAGTACAGAATCATGTCTTCTGTTGGCTGAAAGGGAGGTGGGTGAGAAAGGGGGGAGGATGGGGAGAGCAGGTGAGCATGCGGAGCAAAGATTATAAGGAAGGGCATAAAGGGAGAGGAGAGAGCTCTTAAGAACTATGAAGCAGAGAATGATGCTGAGGGAACCAGTGTGTGAATGCAGAGCTGTGCAGACAGGGGTGTGTAACCGTGTTGCAGTCAAGTGGGCAAGTTTCCCCTTTAAGTACTGGGTTGAGTACTGTTGGGGCTCTTTTGAGTGTGAGAAGATCCCCTGAGAGACTCCAGTGGCATTTTCTCCCTTGCTCTCCCTTTTCCAGACTGGAGCATCCTGCTTGGAGAGTGTTCGCTGCAGACAATCAGCAAGCAGTTGAAGGAGGTGTGTCGGATGTGTGGCATCTCTTCTGCAGACTCCCCCTCAATTCTCAGTGCCTGTTTGGTTGCCATGGAGCCCCAGGGGTCATTTGTGGTGATGCCAGGTAATAAGCCACACTAGAGTCTGATGTTGTGCTTAATGTGTTTATCTTCACTTAACATCTCATCCATTTCCACTATTTTGGGTGGGGGCTGGATTTGTTTTCAAAATGATATATCTACATTGGCATATGTTGAAGTACTGTGCCCATGTATTTAGCACTGTGAAAAGTTGTAGTATGACGAAGCGGCAGGAGGAGATGACATTTCCCTCATTCCACAACCCTCAAATATAAAATACATTGATCTCCTTTTCAATCTGACTGATGAATATTGTGTTCAGATGAGAGTAAAATTTACATGTGTTGAAGCAGTGCAACTGCCCATCTTTACTGGATCCTGGGTGCTGGGTGCAACTTTTTGTCAGAGCCCAATCCACACAAATTGCTTCCCCTTGAATGACCCATGAAAGCATCACACTGATTTGGTCCACATAGATTGGACTCCACATGCATAAGCTTTGGGCAAGCATTGTAGCTAACACTTGGATGTCCATTGGACCTAGAGGAAGGAGAGGAGAACCATTAGAGCCCCATTCCCCACTGCATATAGGCTTCTAGTCATTATAATCTCCTACTCGGGTAACATCATGTAGGGGAGAGCAGGGACAAGCACATTAAGTGTTCTAAATTGTGCAGGAACCTTCCACAAGTCCCAGAGGTTCTTTGCTTCAGAGGTTCAGCCTCCAATTAATGGGGAGAGGATGTGCTTAAGAATGTAAGAGCCTTGCTGCTCAATCACGCCAAAGGCCCATCTGTTCTCATTGTGGCCAACCAGATGCTGAAGTGGGAGTCTCACAAGCAGGACATGAGCACAATGCTGCTTGTGTCTCTAAACCACAGTTCTATGCATTCTTGTTACTTTTCAACAGTATCTCTTACAAAATAAAAGTAGCAGCCTAAAGCAATGTGGGCACCTTCCCTTTATATTTTGATTTTTAAACATTCCCTGTTCCTGGAAAGCCTTCCCCCAGGGGCATATAATTTAAACCTTAGTCTTCCTTATGGCATGGATATACTGAGTTAGAGAAAAAGGCTGATTTGAATGCAATGGGGAAACCATGGTTTGACCGTTTGGTTCTCTGTTCACATTTCAGTTCCTTCACTAACTTCCTTGTTTGGCTGAGCCATGGTTTCCAGTTATGTTCATATCAGCAAGCTTTGCTTTGAACTTGAGTTGCAAATCCAGTTCAACCCATTGTTTCCATTTCAGGCTTGGGGAGGATAAATGTGAACTGGAGATGGCTGATTCAGATGCAACTGCAAACCCTGGTTTGCTTGTACAAAGAATTGTAGAAAGGATTAGTGTGTGAGAGGGAGGAGGAAGAACCCTACATTTTGGTCTGAGGATCAATCCATAGGCAAGCAGCTGTGTTCTGATTGGGCTATGCTGGTTTGAGTCGATTTGTTCCTGTTGCTTCTTTTGATAGTCTTAATTTCACACACTTGCACACGCTCTTTTTGATGGTGCCTTGGCCATTCTGAGGCCTGACAAATCTACTCTGCTTCTCTTGACAGATGCTGTCACGATGGGGTCTGTGTTTGGCCGCAGCACTGCTCTTAACTTGCAGTCGTCCCAGCTGAATACGCCACAGGATGCCTCTTGTACACACATCTTGGTGTTTCCAACCTCTGCAACCATCCAAGTCGCTCCAGCAAACTATCCAAATGAGGATGGATTCAGCCCCAATAATGGTAAGTCAGCTGCTGGGCAGCGTGTAGGGAATTGCCCTATAATGTTGATCAAAACATTCTTTCTCTAACAGTCATTGGCAAGCGCTGCTGCTTTTATACCAGAAGCATGAAGACAAACAATGGGAGCTTCTTGTTCATTGAGAAAAATTGTTTCTTCTTTTTCTGTTCAACTGACTACTTAGCCACGTGCTCTTGTTTAGGAAGCCAAATTGGCCAATATTTGCAAGCTGCACATAGTGAAAAGAAGCCAAGCTTCTTTCTTTAATAGCTTTGGCTAATTGCAAAGACTCTGTGTGGTATGGTTTGGCATTGCTGTGGCTAGTGAGGATTTTGTAAGGGCCGGTTGTTTTCTTACCCTATAACCATATGCGGCAAATATTTTTTGTGGATGTATGATTTGCCCTGTTGTTCTGTGATTAGCATCAAGCTGATCAATCTGCATGCTTGCACTGCGCCTGATTCGTAGGTTTCTAGAGGGTCTGGAATCATGTGACAGGGAGGGATATTCTGGAGAGAGGCAAATAATGCAAGACCAGCAGAGATACATGGATAAACTACAGAGAACCCAGAAGCTCATTTCCCAAAATGGTTCATCCTTTTGCAGAAGCTTGGCTGTTTGTTCCTATACATATTTCTTAAAATGAAACAGGGAGAAGGAGAACAATGTATACCACCTTGAGATCCTTGGAAGATAAAGGTGTTCTATAAATGAAATAAATAAAAATGATTTGAATTATTAAGGTTATATTTGTAAAAGCTGCTTCTGAGTGGAAGAGTGGGTTTTTATTTATTTTAAAAAATCAGTTTATATCCTGCCCTTCCTCCTCTTGAAGAAATCCACGGTGGCAAACACGTAATCAGTAAAACAACTCTTCAGCAATTTTCTGTAGGAAAATAAGGAGGATGTTAATACTTTTCAACTAGAGAGAGAAGAGGCCTTTAAAATGGATGCAAGTTGCAGTATGAAGGGGGCCCTTCAGTGATTGGTTGTTTTTTTTAATGCAAAGGCCTGGCTTTGATCTGCTGATGTAATTTAGTGGGCCTCATGGGGGACACCTACCCTCCAGTGCCACTATCCTATTATGGCCCCCAAATTCCGCCTGAGCACAGGGCTTCCAAATATTTAACCTGCATTAACCTAGCCTTTGGGGTTTCGTGTGCTAATTGGAGCCATGTCTAAAGGCTAGCATTTTCCAAAATGGTGTTAAGATTTAATTTTCTCAACTCCTTGTTCTATGTTTAATAATTAAAGCCTCTGAAGCCATTAACCCTCTTGTTTGTGCCTTGGAGGCTGTTGAGAGCAAGGCAATGGCTTTTTGGCTTGTAGCGCACACGTTTGTAGGAAGCAAGTTTTAATAAGCCAAGTTAAAAATCACTTCTGGCTGCTGTCTTTGGAAGAGGAGGAGGAGAAGGAAGATTGAAAGAGCTGTTGGGGGGGGGGGGGGAGAAATGCTTCAGAGAAGGTGTGGATGAAGAGAGGAGCCAAAAGGCTCCTGCCCACCCCCATCTCTTGGTCTTTCTCTCTCTGCCGCAAATCAACATCATATACTTTCATTTGTAGTAAGTCAAAAGTGGTATTCTTTTTTCTTTTTGACACACACAACCAGCCAACCCAGTGGCCTTGGAAAGGGGAAAACCATTCACCAAACATTTAGATCTCCTTCACAAACGAGAGATCTGTGTTTGAAAATATTTCTGGAATCGTTACTGAGCAAGAATTTACTGCCACTTACTTCACTTTCAGCAGGGACTTCCTGGAGAGTGCATTAAGAAATGGAACAACCTGAATTTTCATGTGTGGTGCATAAAAAGCACATGGGGCGACGTAGGGGAAAAAACAGACTTAGGGGTTGGAGAGGGAGGGGAAGTCACATTGCATAAGTGGAAGTTCTTGCATGAACAGGATGACTCCCTTGGATCCAACCCTTTCTCAGCCTAAAATGCCTCGCAGGTCTGTTTTTAGAATGAAGTGAGGCGTCATCATGTAACACTGTATTGAGCTCCTTTACTGTGTGATTTAAACGTAGTGAAGAAATGAATATTTCTTTAGCATATCCACGTTAGAGAAATTCTGCTGTCCTGTATTGAGAGCGACAGTAGGGGAGAGGGAGACGGTTCTCAGCCCTGGTCCCTTAACGCGAAAGGTTGCAAGGCTTTGAGCCACTGATGAGCAGCTGCCCAATTAGCACGTGCCCTGTTGAAAACTGAGTCCTGGCTACTGTCCTGATGGAAGGGACACCTGTCCAAAGGCAAATGTTCTAAACAACAATCACAAGCAACACGTCGGCTAATAATATACTGACAATATTTTTATAACATCACACTGTTTCAAAATTCATGAACAGATGACATATAATATGTGCATGGAGTCACAAATTAATATGAATCAAATAAATGTTCCATAAACAGAAATGGTAGGAGTGGTAAGTCACTTTCAATGATCACTAAAATGGTCACTAAAATTTGCAACTCCATGCACATATATGTACAGTGGTGCCTCACAAGACGAAATTAATCCGTTCCGCGAGTCTCTTCGTCTTGCGGTTTTTTCGTCTTGCGAAGCATGGCTATTAGCGGCTTAGTGGCTATTAGCGGCTTAGCGGCTATTAACGGCTTAGCGGCTTTAAGAAAAAGGAAACGAACTCGCAAGACGTTTCGTCTTGTGAAGCAAGCCCATAGGGAAATTCGTCTTGCGGAACGACTCAAAAAACGGAAAACCCTTTCGTCTAGCGAGTTTTTCGTCTTGCGAGGCATTCGTCTTGCAGGGCACCACCGTATTCTGTTTATGAATTTTGAAACGGTATAAAAATATTGATGTTTAGAGTGTCCTGTTTTGCAACACAGGGGATTTTCAAAGGCAAATGTTAACAGTTGCCATTTCTCTGTGCAAGTGCTGCCATTTCCCAAGTCATTCTGTATCCCACAAGGCAACATGACTAATCTCTTCTTTCACTCTTCCTTCTTCTTTGAGATGACATGTTTGTCCTTCCATTCCCGGATGACATGGATAACGACATTGGGATTCTAATGACTGGGAATCTCCACTCGTCTCCCAACTCCTCCCCGGTCCCTTCCCCTGGCTCTCCTTCTGGGATTGGAATAGGACCATCCTTCCAGCATAGCCGGGTAAGTTCCTTTCGATTTCTGCACTGTACTCGCTCAGTAGGCAGTGCTCCAAATCCATTATGGTTTGGGCTCTTGTCTCCCCTCCCTCTCAGTTCAGTCACAAAGTGCTTACTTTAGAGCAGGGGTGGGGAACTTCCTGGGGTCTACATGCAAGGGGAGTGACCCTTACCTTTGTCCAGTAAGGCTACATTCCAGCCATGCAAAAATTTAAGGGCTTCTGCACTCAATTCACCTGCCTGTCCCGACAGTCTATGCAGCCTCCATCCATACAAGCAAGAGACATCATTGCCACTCAAGGATACATCCCAGCCAGGCAAAAGCACTCAAGGGGGAGTATGAAGCACAGCCCGTGATGGGTGTGGCCTCAGTAGAGCCCTGAGGGCCAGATAAAGAGGCCTTGGAGGCCACATTCAGAAGTTCCCTGGGGTCCTGCTTTAGAGTAGCTAGGATTTCCCTGGGGGAGAACGCTGTGCCATGTTGCAAGAAGCAAGCATGACAATCGAATACATTTGGTTCTTTTTGCAAACCGTGCTGAGGTGCCCTTGGCTTCAAGGAATCACATTTAAGGATTCAGTTTTGGAAACGGGCTAGATTTAAGTTTCCACAGAAGGGTTTCTGCAAGAAGAGAGGCTTTCCCCCCCACCCCCACCCTCCTCCTTTCCTGCTAGCGATAAAACCACCCATCGGAACGCACACTCTCCAGGTGCTGGGATTTTTATGCAGATTTTGTTTTCTTAGCCTAGGGTGCTTGTAGTTCAGCAGTTAGTTCTCCTTAAAGTGGCTTTTAAGAAGCTGGCTCCAGCATCAAAGCTTATTTAAAATGTAAATTAATTTTGTTAATTTCAGAAAGGAAGGTTCTAACTCTGGAAAGCTTAGCGTGTAGTTGAAGTGTTTAGCAAAGTTCGTCCCACTTGCAGCCTCTGTGGCACGAGGCACTTCACGGGGGTTATTATGTATGCCTATCATCCTTTGCTTGGAACGCTCCTGCAACCTGCAGGCTGTGCATTTTTAAGGAGATGGTGGTGGCAGCGGCGGCGGCAGGACTTGTAAAGTGTTTTCTCTTCAAAAGAGAACATTTTCCTTCATCTTCGCTCTCAATAAATGAAGGATAATGGGGACAATAAAGTCAATAGAAAGGTTCTGATGCTGCTTTCCTGATTAATAGCACATCTGTGAGTTTCGCAGCTCCACTAAGGCAAACATCTGTTTTCTTCTTCTTCTCACTCAAAGTAAAATGGCTTCGTTTTTGCATCCCGGGGGTTACGCATTTACTCCAGTGGCAGGTGCGGAAGTGGTGAGATCTCCAGTGGCCTCTAAAGGCAGCTACTGTGTGGATTTCCTTTGGGGCGGCAGATGCAAATTTTCCAGAATCCTGTTGTTTACTAAGTGTGGCACTGAATGATAGAAATAGGCTGCTGGCCTAGTTTTTATATTGTATTTGTGTGCCCCCCCCCGGACACTGACATTTTCAAGTTCCTGCTCTCTGGGTTAACCTAAATATATTGCAACATGCACACCTGTCCATAGGGTACTTTTTAGGTTCTTAAAAGCAGAGATGCCTCTGTTAACTATCAGGACTCTTCCCAACCCACACCCTTCACATCCTCCTTGGGTATTTTTGTCTGGCTTGAACTTTGATAATGCCTCTTGCTTCCCTGGATAGAGGATAGAAAGGGATGCCCAAGTGCTTGTAAAACTAGCCTATGGTACAAAGGTCAAATTGCATCCATTGCTCCACTCACTTTCCCCTCTGCCCTGACTAGCTCTGGCATGCAGCCCCTGGAAAGTCCCCCAGAAGAGAAGGTGGCCCTCTGTATGAAAGAGGGTCCTCACTCCTGCTTGAAAGTGTAGCCTTGCTATCCGTTCTGTACCTCATCCTCACCACCTCACCACCTCTGAACCCTTGCATCCTTCCCATTCTGCACCCAACCTGCAGTCTTCAAGCAAACAGGTTGTTCAGTAATTTCTACCAAGTCGTAGCCATTTTTGGAGATTGTTTGCAGCATGGCGTGACAATCCTGCACAGCCTCAGATTTCTCCCATAATGAGATGAGCGATCAGGGAGTTTGGTAACCCAGCGAGGCCCCTTGTAGGCGAATGCCTTTTGGAGCAACTAGCTTAACCATTAACACGAGCCTGGTAATTGAGGTGTAATTTTTGCTCGTACAAAAGCAGCAGCGTGTGATCATTTCCCCCCCAGGTCAAGGGAGGGCACGCTTTCGTCCATGGACCTTGTAATTAATTGCTGCGGTTTGCAAGCGAGTGCTGCTTCCATGTCCTACTGTTGAATTTTCAGCCAGGGGAACTCTGAGGCATTCTGGGTGGACAAACTGGTCACTTTGAGGGCCAGCTTGATGAATAAAGGAATTTCAACTTTAGCAGGGACCTGTTAAGTGGGTCCTTTTGAGGATGTTGTGGTGGTCAAGCTGTCTCTCAAATCACCTGCAGTTACTGTAAAAATGTACCACAACTTTATTGTTTTCTGGAGGAATGCATATTTGCATTTTATAACTGAAAACATTATAAAACATTACAAATTTAAAATCTTGAATAGTTCCACGGAGTTTGGAGCCCAACCTGTGATATGTCTGCAAATGTACATTTAAAAACCATATAGCAGGCACGTCCAATTTCCAAGAGACTGCGAACTACTCCCACTATATATTAAAAAAACAACACAGGCAATGATCTATCCATTGGATTGACCACAGTTGTTGAGCTTTTGGGGGGGGGAAGCTTAATCAAAGTTGTTGACATCCCTGCCATTTAGCATCTAGCACAGCACCTTACAATTGCTACAACTGGCAGAAAAATCATCAAGTGTTCTGCCAAGACCCTCAGCAATTTCAGGTGGTCTCTGGGAAAGAAAGTTTGAGAATGACTGCACTATACCATTGAAATGTAAGCTAAGACAATCATGCATCACGCCACAGTTTGATCTAAGTGTCTTTAATTACCAGAATCAATGCAGAAACTCTGCCATCAATATTCTGTGTGATATGCAATACATATAGCAGCATATTCCACATGATACTGGAAGTAACCCATATGAACAGTGTGACTTGTAGACCAGTTTTGCATTGAACGTTGATTGATTTGATGGAAGTTGTTAGCTCCTGCATCCCTCCATATTTCAACCCAACTGATCAACACAAATGTTGATCGGAAATTGTCATGCTCAGAGAGCAAAGAGAAGCCCGGTGGAATACAAATGTATGTTGAAACAAGACATAACATTTGCGTGGTATTCTAGGGTTTGGCAAATTGCCTTCCTTGAAAAGATCTCATAAACTAAAAGTATCTGAATAGGCAGAACTCAAATTACTGTTACTTGGCTGTACGGCATGATTTTGTTTCTTATACAAATATTGGGGCATGTGGTCTCTCTCTCTCTCTCTCTCTCTCTCTCTCACACACACACACACACACACACACACACACACACAATCTTTATTCTCAATAGTGATGGAACTCACAGGTGGAAAATAATTTTATTTATACATATCCTTGTTATTTATTAGTCAATACTTTATTATTATTGGACCTGCACTGCATCTTTGTACTTTTGTCCTTCCAGCCTACGCCACCTTATCATTTACATTTTTGATTCTTTGTTTTCTCTCTGTTTCTTATGCTTGCCCTTCTTAACAGGATCAGTAAAATATTAAATGAGACAAGGTACAACATTTGCATGATTTGAGGGGAGGACAAGACTGGCAGTCAAATTTGCCACCTCCCTTTAATAAGCCTCCTGTACCAACTGAAGCTGAGTACCCCATTGTCTTCTCCATACGTCATTCATGCCTAATTTGCATTTCCTCCCCCTATCCCACTTCTCGTTTCTCCAGAGCCAAGGAGAACGTCTCCTCTCCCGGAGGCACCCGAAGAACTGAAGCAGCAGCCTCTTGCTCTGGGGTACTTCGTCTCTACTGCCAAAGCTGAGAACCTCCCTCAGTGGTTCTGGTCATCCTGTCCACAGGCCCAGAATCAGTGTCCCTCTTTTTGAAGGTTTGTTGGACATTTTTTTTGAAAGGAATGCCATTGCTTCTGGTGGCATTTGTAACCTGAGTAGAGCTCTTTTACTCTTGGTCATAGATAAGTTCTTAGACCCACCTTTGTAAGTGTCTTGTATGTGCCCTTTGCTGTAGAAAATGCACTCAGGGGATTGTTGTGTTGCCGTCTTTGGCACGACCACATCCATCTTACCTTAGCCAGCGCTTCTTACTCTTTTGTAAGAATGTACCTCAAGCAGACAGAAGAAGGGCAGGGAATTGTAACTGGGTTGTATGCTCCACTTCAGATCCCTGACTCAATCCCTAGCATCCCCGCTTACTGGCACTGAGAGGGGAGCCTCGTTCTGAGACATAGTCCACGTTTCATGGCTAAGCATGGATTCAAATGCCTGTCTCCCTAGTCCAAGCCCTCTAGGATGGCCAGAAACCTCATTTTAATGTTCACAGGCCTTCTTCCCATCTCTCCTACCCCAATGCCCTCCTACCCCAATGCCACAATGCCCACCCCAGACCAGATTCATGAATGCTGTTCATAATTCAGCTTGGTGGTATTGTTAAAACTGGGACCAAAGCTCTCAAGGGTTCCTCTAGCCTTCCTGTGAGGCGCTTGGCCAGGGTGGGGTGGGAGGATACTTACCTAGATCAGCTGCAAACTAAGCACCTCACTGAAATGCATATGGGCTTGCCGAACATGGTGATAGCAGCAGTTCCTGCTTTTGTCAGCAAAAACAGATTCTGATGTGATGTGGTTGGGCAGCGAGGGCCAAAATTGCTTTCCGTTAGTGGTTCCTCAGGCACCTTCCTTGCATTCACCCCCCTTTCATATTTGCAGAATTTCCATAGCTCCACCCTCCCCATAAGCAGCAAGAACCAGTCTTGATCTCTGACTGAAGGAACTCTTTGGCCAGCTTCCCCCCCACCAAGTTGAAGGAAATGTCTTTGGCAGTATTTATCATGGCATCTTTTGGGCAGGTTTTGAGAAGGTTG